GGGTGGAGTGCAGAGGGCCCTGCTGCATCATGCTCTCAGGAAAGCGGGCCAGGGCACCAAACAATGACACACACACACACACACACACTGGTCCCAGGTTGCAAGGCTGGCCCTGGCTCCAAGTCTTGTCACCCAGGAGGAATCAGGGTTATAGCAGCTCTCCTCCTGCTCCCTGCCTGCAACAGGGGAGAGCACAATTTCGGCACCTGTTGCCAAGGTGTTTTCCATGATTCTGTCCATGGAGGTCCCTACCCTACTCCAGAGCAAGTGTTCCAGTCTCTGGCCTGAGATTAAAATGCCTGCATGGCTGCACTGCTGGTTCACTAAGGAAAGGCTGACTTTGTCTGCACCGGATTAAAAATGGCCTCTTGCTCTTGGTCCCAGGTCTAGGAAAATGCCTGCAGCTCTTCTCAGTGTGTTTTCCTCTCAGGCTCTCCAAGCCTCTCCCCAAGTCAGTTCCAGGACTTGGGAAAAACAAAGTATGGCCTGGATTGCTGAGGTGAGTCACAGAGGGTCTCCCTTTGCTCTCTCGTCCTGGGGCTTCACTCGATTTTATCTGCTGAGTGCCATCGTGGGGGCTGTTTGCCCTCGTCCTCTCTCCTAGGAGCTGGGGTGTCCTTCATGATTCCAGTAGATTCCCATTTTCTTTCTTGAATTAAAGCACACAGAGTTGATCTTTATGTACTATTTTGCTATTTCCAAGTGGCTGAGATAAGCTAAAAGACTCTAATCTGCCATCTCAGGAAAATAAAAAGGTGGATTTTTTTAAATAGCAACAAACACTGTAGAAAAACAAAAACACACTGGGAGAAGATACGTGCAACTTACAGAAAACGGTGATCATCTCTGTAATGTAAAAAAACTCAAAAATCAGGAAGAAACAGAAACTTTAACAATGGGCAAACTAAACAGCTCACATATTCAGCAGGAAACACTCATTTTCACCCTTGATCAGAGAGAAGAACTGCCCTGTGAGCTTGCTGCAGCTTTGGGATGTGTTTCAGAGTCTGGTAGGCTCGTCATCCTATTGTTTTATTTTTTCAGAAAAAAAAATAGCCCAAAGAAGCTTGCTATCTTTGTGAGGTTTCTGATGCAGAATCATCTATGCTTGTCCATTTGTTTAAGCTGTGTGTCTGTAAAGAGCGTCTTCCTCATTAGGCCTTTAAATTTTTTCTATTTTACTTGTTTTTAGGTATTTAACACTTTTGGTGGCATTTTGAAATTGAGAGGTTCTTTTCATTACGTCTTCTAACTGATTGTGCTTGGTAAATATGAAAGCTTTTAATTTTGATTACTAGTTTTGAAAGTTATTATATTTCTTTATTATTTATAGCACCTGTTGTTTTCTTTTTAGTTGATTCACTTGGATTTCCCAAGTAATCCATCTTATAATCTGGAAAAAACAGTTGTTTATCTTCTCCTTGCTAACTTTTATATTTCTCGTTTCCATCTCATCTAATTTCACTGGCAAATGCCTCCAGGACGACACCGACTCACTGTGGTGATGGTGACTTCTTCTGACTTACTGTAAGGGGCCGTTTCTCATGTTTTCCAGTGATAGAATAAGCCTAGTTTTGTTAAGAAAGTATCTAGAACATTTTTTAAGTGTGTTTATAAAAAATGGAGTTGGCCGGGCGCAGTGGCTCAAGCCTGTAATCCCAGCACTTTGGGAGGCTGAGGTGGGTGGATCATGTGAGGTGAGAAGTTCAAGAGTAGGCTCACCAACATGGTGAAACTCCATCTCTACTAAAAATACAAAACAAAATTAGCTGGGCATGGTGACGTGCGCCTGTAATCAATTTTAATATTATGAAGCAGACTTTTTATACTTTTGAATTTAATTGGAAAGGATTAAGAAACATAATCATTTCTCTTTTATTTTCTTTGATTAGGATTTTGTGTGTGTTGTGTGTGTATACACACAAACTCACTCGACACACACACAAGGGTGCGCACACATATATATGCCCTGAGTTATTAAGAGTTTGAAATTTTCAAGCTCGTGTGGATTTTCTTATTTGTAGTACAGAGCCAGGAAATGTTATCTATACTATTTCTTATAGTGGCATAAAAGAAGTTTTCTTTGTGGTATTATGGTCAACTTTTGGGAATATTCTGTGGATACTTGATATAAATAGGCAGCCTAAGTTCAGGGTACAGTCTCAAATCATTGGATACCTTTTATTTTTATATAGTATATATATTTATACATTTTTGTATGCTTGATCTACAGTATGCTGAGGGGTGGGTTAATCTGTTTTTTTACATTTCTCTGTTTCTGTAATATACTTTAGCTTGCTAAATATTAACAGGCCCATTGACAGCCACACACATTATGTATTTGTTTTAGATTTATTAAATTTAACATCATAAGATGTGCCCTTGTCAACCTTGGCAGTCAAGCTCTTCTTTCAACCTCTGGCACCTGGCAAATATTTATCTGCTTTTCATTATTACAATTTTTCCTTTTGAGAAATTTTATGTAAGTGGATTTATGTCACCTTCAGCATGTGACTTCCGACACGAAGCAAAATGCTTTGAAGATGTGCCATGTTGTTGATGTGTCAACGCCCATTCCTTACTGCTGAGTAGTGTTCCGCAGGATAGGTAGAGCACGATGCTTTTCATCCATTAAACAGATGATGCACATTTGGATTTCAAGTCTGGAGTCATTATGAATAAAGCTCTTATGAACATCATATAATACTTTATGTGGACATGTACTGTTATTTCCCCTGGACAAATACCCAGGAATGAAATCTCTGGGCTAGGAGTTAAACTGCCACATTTGTTTTCCAAAGTCACCATGCCAGTTTGCATTTCCAGCCGCAGTGCCTGCGAGTTTTCAGGGCTCCATCTCCTCATTCACACTTGATAGCGTCAGTTGTTTGCATTTAGCCATTTGGAGGTTGTGTGGTAACATCTCACTCTCAGTTCCTATTTGCTTTCCTTGATGGTTAAAGATATGGAACATATTTTCCTGTCCTTATTTGTTATCCATATATGTTCATTGGTGAAATCAATGAAATCTTTGATCTATTTTTTGATTGTGTTGTTTATCACCTTAGTGATTTGTAACAGTTCTCATCTACGTTTAAAAATTGGTATATAATAGATGTATATCTTTTTGATATACATGTGATAATCTGATGCATTCATATAATCAAATCAGGGGCATTGGGATATTCATCACCTTGAATATTTATCTTTTCTTTATACATATGTCTTTATGTATATGTGTATATATATACACATAAATATATATCTTTTATATCAAATACATAAAATATGTATCTTTTCTTTATAAGAACAATCAAATTATTCTCTTTTAGCCCTTTTGAAATGTATAATCCATTAATGTTAACTGTAGTCACCCTAATGATCGATAAGACACCTGGTCTTATTTTTTCTAAGTGTGCATTTTTACCCATTAACCTCTGATCTACTTTTTAGATTTATCTTTGTGGTTTTTAGCAGTTTTATAACGATGTGCACATATGTGACTCTCCTTGTGTTTATTGTGCCTGGAGTTCATAGTAATTCTGAAATCTGCAGGTCAATGTCTTTTTAAAGTTTTGGAATATGCTCTGGCATTCGATCTTCATGTACAGCATCTGCCTGATTTTCTGTCCACTTTTTGACTAGAACCTTCAGTACTCATTTTCTATACCTTCTTGCCTTATCCCATAGTTTCTTTTGGTTTCTCTAGTATTTTCAGTCCTTTCAACTCTCAGTCTGGATGTATGTTTCTGATCTGCCTTCAGGTCAATGATTCTTTTTTCTGCTGTGTCTAAATTACTGTCAAATCCATTGATTGTCTTCTTAGTTTATTTTACTTTTCAGTCTCACGTTTTTCATTTAGTTCTCTCTTATAGTGTCAAATTTCTGCTGAAGTTCTCCACCTTTTCTTTTAATTCCTTGAACATATAAAGCATAGTTTCTTTACAATAAGTCCATTGTAAATGAGTGAATTTATCGTATCTTTTGTAAATTTAAAACTTTAAATTTTGTAAGTTTAAAAGCATGGAAGGAATTAGCCGGGCGAGGCGGCGAGCGCTTGTAGTCCCAGCTACTCGGGAAGCTGAGGCAGGAGAATGGCATGAACCCGGGAGGCGGAGCTTGCAGTGAGCCGAGATCGCGCCACTGCACTCCAGCCTGGGCGACTAAGCGAGACTCTGTCTCAAAAAAAAAAAAAAAAAAAAGCATGGAAGGAAATACCATATAGTGCTTAAGGACACAAACATTTGTAGTAAAAATGTAAAGAAAAGTATAGCATTAAAAACAGCAGACTCAGGGTGATGATTCCCTTTGAGTTAGAAGGAGAAAGTGGTGATTGGAAAGGGCTCAGAAAGTAGGAAATAACTGTTTTACTTCTCGCTGGGTGAAGATAACATGGATCTTCATTCTCCTTTTCCATGTCTTAAGAAGGTACAATCAATAAAAAGGCCAATGCACAGGTGTGTGTATGACATAAGGCAGTGAGGAGCGAATAGCAGGACAAACGGTGCAATGTGCACCTGCTCCTCTCAGCAGGGTTCGCTGGGTGAAGCCAGGGCTGAAGCAAGGAGTCTACGCGGGAGCTGGGGCTGAGCGGGCAGCTCGCTTCAGGGTGGGCACAGGGGGAGTACAAATATTGGGTCAGCGAGTGTCTGAAAGGCAACATAGTCTCTGCTGGATTTGACAGAGGGCATGAGATAGAAGAACGAAAGTTGGCTCTGAAGTCACTCTAAGGACCAAGGAAATCCAAGGATGGAATTTCCATTTACTGAAGAGGAACACTGTGGGAGGGGCAGGCTAAGTGAGGAGAAAGAAGAGCTTGGATTTAAACCCATGAGGGCTGAGGTGTTGTTCCTTGTCCAAATGGAGCTCTCAAGTGCATAGCTGGAGAGGGGAGTCTAGAGTTCAGGGAGGAGCTCAGGTAGCCCAAAACGGAGGTAGATTTCACCCTGCATATGAGACACAGGACCTTTGCCTACCTTACAAAAAAAATAAGAACAAAATTGAAATATTAAGTTAGTAAACTTTTAAAAATTTTATTTACAGACAAGTCTACCACATCACCGTAAGTTTATGCTACTGATGGAAATGAACAAATGTAGCCCCATAAGGAAGAAAAGTTGAGAGATGTCATATGTCTAAAGACATGGTAGTAGGACTTCTTTGTAATCATATTTCTATGATAAATGCACACTACAATTTTTGAAAGCATAAATATGATTTCTAAGGATTCATATTCTAGTTAATAGCTACAACTCTAAACATTACTTCATACCTCATTTAAGCTGATTTCTTTTTCTCCAGTTACTTTGCAAATGGAAATGTATGCATTGAAATTCATGGCTCTACCCTCAAGATTCTCAAATTAAAATACAGCTATCATATACATTGCCAGATCAAATGCTTAGTGATGTTTGAAAATGTTCACAAAAGAACTATGAGCACATAAATTGTAGGATAGTCTATGGCACAGCATGTGTGATAAAGTTAGTACAAAGTATTTAAAGATATGTCAGTCAACTCTTTTTATATAGAAAAACAAGATCTTTTACATACTGAATGGAAATTGTGTAGAAGTTTTTAAAATTTATATTAAACATTGCTTAACTAGTAAATCCTGTCAGTGTAGAAATAATTTTTTTTGGTAATTCTCAAAGAAGAAAATAGTATACGCTTTAATTCATGGTTACATAGTTGGCTGGAAAAATGCCAGTCTGACCTCGAAGCTTTCCTTCCCACCAATCAAAATGTGAATCTGTTTTTGATATAACTGTGATTCTGTCTCCAGCTTGAAAATTCAAATCCCCAGGCTGCTGTCCTTCAAATGAATACAGCGCTGTCACTTCTATGGGTGGATTCAAATTGCCTGAAACAAAAAAAAGTATTCACATATTTATGTTCTTTAAGGGAGAAACTGGGGTATCTGCTGGTAAGATACAAATTAACCACTTAGGGCTTGGCATGCTGGTGTCTTGGAGGCTGGCAGAAACAACAACACACAGTCTGTGTAATTTTCATCACATTATTAAACTTATTTTTCTCTGCACATTATATACCTAAGGATTTAGCACATGCTTCTGGTTATAATTTTCTAAACTTTGAATCATCTATGAGATAATACAATTTATATATTTTTCCATTTTAATAGAGTAGTCATTGCTGTGGTCTGAATGTCTGGGTCCCCCTGAGATTCAAGTGTTGAAATCCTCAACCCGAAGGTGATGGTGTTAGAAGTGGGGTCTCCAGGGGCTGATGAGGTCATTTGGTTTCCCCCTCAAGAATGGGATCAGTGTCCTTACAGACAGAGCCTGAGGGGAGCTTCTTGCAACTCCCTCCTTGTGAAGACACAGCAAGATGGCACCAACTCTGAAGCAGAAACCAAGCCCTTGCCAGATACTGAGTCTCCTGGAACCTTGATCTTGGAATCCAGCCTCCAGAAGTGTGAGAAATAAAATTCCATTGTCTATGAGCTGCCCGGGCTATGGTGTTTTGTCACAGCAGCTGGAAGGGGCTAAGATAGCTGTGACAGTTTCATGGATGGCAGACGTGGGAGAAAGGCAGATATGTGAGCTCATGATCAAACCCTAGGGGAGTCAGCTTTAAAACCTGGCTCTTTACTCACTGGGCTTGAAGATTGCAGCCCAGTTATATTTTGCTGTTTCATCAGCAGACATTTCTTCTCCCTGGGCTTTGTGGCTGTTTACATTTCTGTGCTTAATTGATCCATCCTCTCAATATCAGAGATAAATTGGAATTAGCACAGGCAGGAGCATTTCTACATGTTTCACAAGTAATTCAATGCAATGTGGATATCCACGTATTGTAGAAGGAAGAAAATACTTTGAGAATTGAGCAGTTAACATGAATAAAGGACTTAAATATTATAAACCATAAAACATCATAAAAATATAATGAAACAGACAGTTTTTGAGCACTCAGCTAAATGGAGTTTGATGCTTCTACACATCATATAATTCTGTGCATAAATTAGGCAATTAGATGCACAGACATACAGAAAACACCAATAACCAGACTCTAGAGCCAGGTCCTATTTGAACCCATAAAACAATAATAATAATAATAATAAAGTGAATTTGGTCCATCCGTAAGAAATAAAAATAGTCAACACTTTAAACTACTCTGACTAAAACACTGAATTTGTAGCTCACACAAGATGGTGCTACCGTTCTTTCTTTAAAGTATGTGCCATCTAGTTGAGTTCTAAAGAAATAATCCTAATAATAATTACACTAGAGATAATACTGGTATAACTACTTTTTGTATAATACAAAGAATTTCTGTATATTTTATTTCATCCTATATTTACTTTTAGTTTACCAATTTTAAGGAATAAGGTTAAAAGAATGTCACCAAAATAAAATTTTGACATAGTCTAGAAACAATGGAGTAAGTTAAACGTTCTGAGTATACGATTAAATTCCACACATGTTAATGAGCAGTCACTGCCAGGCACTGCGAAGGGGGCTGTGCTCTGCCCTGGACGGGGCACCCTGGACGGGGCACCCTGGACAGGGCTCACGCCATGCTTCCCTGTCATCAGATCAGGATGTAAGCTCATGCTAAAGAAAAATTCATCCTGGAAATCTCTCATTCATGATTATATTTAGGATATCCACTTATAAAGTTGAATCTTACTTAACCAGACCAAATCAGTGAAGACCCTCCAGGAACTCTGTTCTCCTCCCTCTTGTCTCCCAGACACGTTAGATAACAGGAAGAAGTGAGTTAAAAGAGTGCTTGTGAACATCAGGGAATGTGCTGGGAGCTGTAGCCATCTTAGCTACCATGCATTTATACATTGCAGTCTCACTTGTAAGATCAAAAATGCATAATAAGGACAATGACAATAACAGCACCAATTGATGTGCATCTGGGAAGAGCAGCCACCGCGAATTGCTCAGGCACATGGCAGACACTCACACACGCTCCACTTACACCGCCCACTGCAATGAGCCAGCTACTCCTATCCCACATCACAGAATTTGAAACTGAGCCTTAGAGATGCCGAGTAATTTGTCCAAGATCAGGATCCAATGAAGCTTGTCTCCAGGTCATCCAAGACCCTCAACAACCTCACAAATATTAAATTGTGCTCAACAGACCAAACTGACATTTATCACAGCATTTTACTTTTATGAGGCAAATGTTCAAGGAGGATTAGCATGGTGCCCTGCATCACTGGGTTTCCAGACTGTACAAATAACAGTGTCTGATGCTATGGTTCCAGGTAATCTCTGATAACTGGATTGGTTCTAAGTGGTTCTGGGTAATCCCTGATAACTGAATTGGTTCTAAGTGGTTCCGGGTAATCCCTGATAACTGAATTGGTTCTATGCAGTTTCAGGAATATATTTTATGATGAATAATTAGAGAAATAAATATATTATGAACTAAGAAAGAGAAAGAAGGAGAGATCACAGACCTGGTTTGGTCCCTGCCCTCACATTCCAGTGTTGTCTAATTTTCTCTGAAGTGCAGATTCCAAATGAAATGAGGAGAAAGCAGAGTGGGAGAGGAGGGTAGAGGAGCAACATGGGTGCTTTCCAGGTGCAGCTGAAGGCAAGGCCACCACTGAAGGTCTGAAGGGGCCGGGATCTCACATTTTTCCTTTACTGAGGCTAAGATGTGTGTTGACTGTTCCTTGTGCTGAATTCCTCACCCAGTTCCTCACCCAATTTACCGTAAATGCCTCTGCCTCCTGAGGAGGAGTACAGGAGCGTCAGGAGTTGAGCAGTTGTTGGAGAAACTCCATCCACATGAAAATCACAGGAGTGAGGCCAGCAGATCCAGGAGCCTACCTGCTTTCTGAGATAACAGTTCACAAGCCAGTTAGTGCTGTGCCCTGTTAGTTTTTTTTTTTTAAACTCCAAATGACTTAAAGTTCCCCTTTAATGTAAATATTAGAAATAATTTTCACAAGGAGAAGTTTAATGCCCACAAATGAGTTCACTAAAAAAAGGTGAACCAAGTAATGATTCCTTCCACGAAGACAAACCTTCCTGGTTACCAGGAAGCAAACCCCACTGAGTTACTGAAAAGCTGGGCGTTCACAGGGGCCTTTCCTTCTGCACAACATATGCCTTTAAGCTTCATACTCAAGTGCTTACAAAACCGGAAGGATCTTTGAGGGAACTGGCCATTTCCTTCACAATGTTCCAGTTTAGTTCTGGTAGGGGTTATGTTTCCCAAACAGGAAGCAGAATTAGATTCCAGTCAGCACTGGTGATTGGCAGCTGCCCTGAGGCCCAGGATTAGAAAGGCTGGTCTGTGGATGTCCCTGTTTCACTTCCAGTCCACTTTCTCACGAAGCCTGCATAAGGTAGCCTCCTTGCAGCCAGCACCCCTGGCCTGACCTGTTTCAGGAGAAAAATCACAGCCTTGGGAAGGTCACGACTAGGGGAACACAGCCTTTGCCAAGAGCCCTATGAGGCAGAAGACAGCCCCTACAACAAAGTGTTATCCCGCCTAAATTGCGCGTACCGCCCCGGTGGAGAAACCCCACCCCGGACAACTATGGGATGGGTAAGAGGAAGGGGAAGAATGCTGACGTTGGAGGGTCCAGGCTTTTGGTTACGAAACCATTCCTTCCAGAGTCCCTAGAGGGAAGATCAGAAAATTGGACTGTGCATTTCCAAGTCTTGTCTCCCTGAGAGGCCCAAGAACTACGCAGTTGGACCTTCCAAAGGGCGAAGCCAAAAGATGGTGGGAGGAAAGTACAGGTGATGAAGCGGATCATCACGCCTGACAGCCCCTCTGTGGGGCTGAGACAGACTCAGGAGCTCGCACGTGGAGGACTGAGTGTCCTGCTTCATCAGGTTTTCAATTTAAGGCTCAGGCCCTGGGGCCATGTAACTGTGACTTTTCTCTGCAGTGATGGTAAGAAAACATGAGGAAATCCTTGGTAAGAGGTTAATGCCTTCACAGCTGCTTTTAAAAAAATACAGTAACGTAAAGTAAGTTTTATTTAAAAAGTGGACTATAAGTCTTCCCTTTTATTTTTTTTCTTTAAGAACCTCTTTGGAGAATGGGCTAAAGGAATATTATCTCAGTCGTAACTGAGTTACAATTTACCTTGCCCTGTCCTCAAATACAAACACAGAAGCAGCCGAGAAACCAGCCATGGCAAGTGAAGTTACCTTTGGGTCCCACAGGTGGTAAGTGAAAGTACGGGGGTTCAAATTGGAACCCCTGTCGCCACAGCACACTTAAGAGTTTAGTTTCTTATCATGAAACATTTTTCCTTGGTGCCAGTTATAGGAAGTTTCTAATAGAGAAAGGAACTCTAGTTCCCAGCGTCACATTACCACGGCATTCTTTGCGGGATCCGTGGCCTCAGCTCTCTTTCAGCCAGCTTCCCTCAGCTCCGTCTCTCTGTAGGGACCCCTCCCTTCCCAGGCAAGTGCAGCCAGTCGGCTGACCTTGTCAAGTTCAGGAGTGTTTTACCAACTAGACACCTAAGTGTAAGTCTAATCTTGAGTCTTTAAAAGTAAGAGGCTGTGTAAGATAAAAATTGAGGTGTTTACGCTGTCTTGGTGTCAACATTTACACCTTAATCACTTTTGCTTCTAAAGAACGTGTATCCAAAGGCCAAACTTTTCATGTCTCTTTAACGTGGCCTGTAACATGGGTGTGAACCACAAAGGGTGAAACACATTTTTAAACCTCTCAGAGCTTTCTCTGCACACCTAAGACCACGGCATCTTCTGCAGGTGAGCCAGACCATCACACCTGCTCTCCGTACAGACTCCAGGAGCAGACGCTCAACCCCCACAGGAGAACCAGCTGGGAAAAACACCGGAGCAGGCTCCCAGGAGGAGAGACCAGGGTGAAGAGAAAGGTCACCAACCCTAAACCCGTCAGGAACACGCTGACCTCGCTTCAGGGGATGCTGCTTAAGAGACCTTTTCAACATATTTTTATCTGCATGATATAAATTTTTAAAATATGCTTGAGTACCTAAGTTTTTGGAATTTTATTTACATGAAATGTTTAATTCTCCAACAGTTATATATCCAGCAGCATACGGCTTTGTGACTCCAGTGACGAAAGTATTCAATGTGAAAAAATAAACAGGCTATTTTATGATTGATTAACTTTGCCCTCAATTTGTGTCCCACTCACATTTGCTCAATTCTTTCCAGGGAACCTCTGAAGAGTATTTAAGACAGGTTGAAGGACCATTTTCACTATGGTAGATCTTAACAAGTTTTATAAAGCAGCTCCCAATAATAACAAAACATTTGAACGTGAAAAATAAAATTTTTAGAACTATAAAATTTATGGTGCTAAAACACAGAGAAAATGGAATAAGGATCAAATTGTAATTCAGAATTAGAAAACTTTGGCATTTTATCTCCATTGTAAATTCAAAAGCTTCTGGACAGCAAGTGTTAAGGAGATCACGTGCTCCTCAGAAGACGCTATAGCTCCCGGGGCTCAGCAGCGCTGTCCCCAGCACACGCTCTCGACACAGACAACACTGACCCTACACAGACGACACTGACCCTACACAGACGACACTGACCCTGCACAGGTAACACTGACCCTACACAGACGACACTGACCCTACACAGACGACACCGCCCCTACACAGACGACACCGACCCTACACAGACGACACCGACCCTACACAGGTAACACTGACCCTACACAGACGACACTGACCCTACACAGGTAACACTGACCCTACACAGACGACACCGACCCTACACAGATGACACTGACCATCAGCTTCTATCTGGGGCTCAGCAGCGCTGTCCTCAGCACACGCTCCCTACACAGTCAGCACTGACCGTCAGCTTCCTGTCACCTTCACTATCTTAAAGGCAAGTAAGACAACAAAAGCATAGCATTTTCTAAATGAAGTACTTCTCAAAATAATGTGAATATTCTATAAATTAAAGAAAACGGTTGAAGACTTCCCAGAGATTTTCATAACCTATCAGATTAATTAGGAAGTTTGTGATCAAAAAACGAATATGAATCATTTATAACATATAGATTTATTGATTTACCAACTCTCTCGTGATAGCTGGAAAGTCCAGGATAGAGCTTATATTCATTTCTGTTACCTGCCAAAAAAGAGGAGAATGGTGATTTTGAGAACTTATTAGTACATATTATATAAAACACACAAAATTGCCAAATCCTGCCCTGGCTGAGCCAATATTTTAAATCACTAAATTGATAGGATCATCATCATTTGATTGTGCCTGAATAAAGGCAGAAGATAAATGAAGTATAAGGTAGATGATAAATACCTGATATCTGTATGACACAGAAGTACACACACTATTCTCATTAAATTCAGATGACAATTCTACTAAGTCCTTCTTCAATTGCGTTGAAGGAGAAGAAACAGAAATCACTGATTCATGGAAGGATTTACTGTGCACAAGAGCCATTCACTAACTGCATCCACATTTCACATTGGATTCCTGTTCTGACGCTCTGGGGGCAACATAGTGTAGAAAGAGGCAGGATGGTCTGGGGGTTTGCTTTTCTTCTTCGACTGTAGAAAAACGGATTCTAACAGTATAGAAGACAAAGAGTGAAAGGCAGATGGTCTGGGGGGTTGCTTTTCTTATTCAAATGTAGAAAACCTGATTCTAACAGTGTAGAAGATGAAGAGCACACCCTGCACATCGCGTTCAGCTTTAAAAAGAACTTATCCAGGAGCTGGAGATCTGGAGATGGTGTGTCTTAAGTGACCTGTGCCCACACCTGCTTTTGCAGTCTCCGCGTACTCCTAAAGACAGGCATACACCAGTTTGAAGGTCATTGGCCTAAGAAATTTGTGAAAGTAAGAATTTAGAAATAAACATTGGTGGGATGGGGAAAAGGATACAAATATCCCATGAGAATCTATTTTAAAAACGGATTAGAAATATTTTTGGGCAAGTGACCAGATATAAGACAAACAAAATATAAGCAAATTAAGATTTCCTTAACTGTGAAAATCGGTATTTAAGTAGAAATAGAAAAGTGCATTTCATTTGCCATAGCAAATCAAAATCGCAAAGTACTTGGGAACAAATTTAACATAAAAGGCACAGAAACGACAAAATCTTATTGAAAGACATAAATAAAATCTCAACAAATGGAAAGCATGAAATGGTAAAATTATTATATCTCAAATTAATCAATGTACACATGTAACATTATGTAATTAGCATCGAAAATTATAGAATGGATGCAAGTACATAATACTATTTCAATTAGAATTGCATATTTAGGAGGAGGGGAAAATTGGGAAAATGATTCAAATTATATGAAGACTAAGTGTCCAGTAAATGCAAAGATAAAAAAAATCACAAGAAAATCTAGGATCCTATGAATACACTCTTGTATAGGAGGTGGGAAGACCTTAACCATGACCAAAGTATCCAAATCTATAAAAACTAAATGATAGACATATTTTTAGATAAAATTTAAAACTTTCATATAGTAAAATTACAAAAAACAAGATCAAAAGAAAAATGATAAATGTAGAAATATGCTGCAACCCAAATGTCCAACAAAACCTGTAATATAGATAACATTTCCATAAATTGAGAAAGCAACAAATATCCCAATTGGAAAAACAGACCAATGAGATGAAGAGACTTTTCAGATAAGATTAAATCCAAAGCACCAGCAATTTATATGAAGAGATGTTTACATTCACTAATGGGAATAAACATAATCCAATTAACAAGGAGATGTGATTAGCCTTGACTGGCAAAATCTTCTAGATGCTTCTGCACTAATAGTGGTGAGGAAGATATAGCTGAAGAATGTCATAATGGATGTAATAGTTGAAAATGCACACAGTGGGGAATGAAAATGGTGGAGAATGTGTACAGTGGGGAATGTGCATAGTGGGAATGTCTATGGTGGGAAGCCTATATAATGGGGACTTGGTGGGAAGGTTACGGGGGAGTACAGATACTGGGGAGGACATATGGTTAGGATTGCACATGGTGGGTGGTATACATGGTAGAGAGTATGGTGGGCAGTATACACGGTGGAGAATGTATACAGTGGAGAATGCATATGGTGGACAGTAACCATGGTGAAAAATGCACATGGTGGGTGGGACACATGTTGGGGAATGCATATGGTGGAGTCTACTGGGAAATGTGCATGGTAGGAAATGCCTACGGTGGGAAGCAACTATACTGGGGACTATCATGGTGGGAAGGTTATGGGGGAGTATGTATACATGGTGGGGAGTATGTGTGGTTAGGATTGCGCATGGTGGGTGGTACACACGGTGGGGAATGCCTGTGGTGGGGAATGCCTGTGGTGGGGAACGCATATGCAGGTGAATGTTATGGTGGGGAATGATTGATGAGACTCTAAGTAGTAAAAACTTTTGAAAAGTAATCTGCTAAATCTGTTAAAACTTTAAAAATATATTATTTGACCTATTATGTCCACTCATGGTAACTATCTCAAAAACATAAAAGTGCCAGTATATATAAATATTAATTTAGAAGTCTATCAATTGTGGCACTGTTTGGCATGGAAAAAATCTGAAATAAAGTTAATATCCATCAATAGGAGAGTGACTGAGTAAACTATATACATTTGTGCCATGGAATATTAAATAATTACTAAAAAGAAGCAATTACAACTATACCAGTTGACTTAGGGATTTGTATGTGGAGTTGTTGAGCAAAACAAAACAACAAATAACAAATAAATAAATCAAGAAGATACAGTAAAGCACGTATAAGATGATAGCATTTTTATGAGACAAAATAAAACTATTCTGGCCATGTTTATGTATATGTTTGTACATGTCATGTGTAGGACTACACAAGAATGGAGGAAAAAATGTGGAAGTTCATAATTTATGTTGTGAACCTGGTTTTCCTGAAACCAGGGTAGAGGAGGGTATCTTGTAAGTTAAAATACAGGTGAAATGGAAAAAAGGAAGCAACACAACAAAGGAAAAGAAAAAAAATACTGCCTTCACTGACCATCCATATGAACATATGTGCATTTATATAAAATTGTGTGTGTGTGTATATATATGTAAGGATATGTAAATAAATTGAAAATATTTAGTTTTTAAATAAAGAACTTAAGAAAAGGTCAGGTTTAACATAAAAGGTTAAAAGTGATACTAGTTTTAAATTTTTAGTTTACTGAATTAAAAACTGATGTTCAAAACTTGAGAGATACAGCACATGAGAAACGATGGTATTGCACGGAAAACCTGTAGGGGCCTAGCCGCAAAGGATGAAGCCGAGAAGGTTTGTCGAGTGAGGCTGAGGCTGCAGAAACGTGGCCAGGCTAACTTGTACACCGGCAGGGACACAGCTGTGACTGCAAAATGGGGAGGGCACCGCTCGTCTCCCCAAGAAAGGGTTCGGGGAACACACGAGGTCACGGTGGGAAACACCCAGAAGCCGGCACAGGCAATCGCTGAAGGGGGTTCTACGGCAGAAACAGCCTTCGGAGCTTTTCAATCGTTAACTGAAAGGCATTTTTTATGTTAAGGTCCACAGTCATTTTTAAATCCACACTGATAAGGACTTGATACTAAGAGGATTTTTATAAGTGAGAGGATTTTTTACATGCATGTGCAGGTATCCATTCTCAGTGAGGACATTTTACATATTTTAAAACATACATATGGGTCAAATTTTATATAATCACTGAGATCTAAAATAAAAATAAATTCAGTGCTCACATCTCATTAGTCACTGCAAACACGAGTTTCATAAATCAATCAAGTGAACATGAATCAGCAGTGGGCCGACCACCGGAATCCCAAAAGAACAGGGGACAACGCAGGGGCAGGGGCAGGTGGGACATGAGGAACAGGCCTGGCTCCTGAGCATCTTCCTGGGAGGGCCACATCTAGACCAGACAAAGGCACAGCCAAAAATCATGAGGGACTTGGGCTCAAAGCTGGGGAAACGAATACAGAAAACTAAGGAGCAGCCGAGGACGAGCCTCCTGCCTGCGCAGAGCTTCACTATCTACTCCCCGAGCTTCACTATTTACTTCCCGAGCTTTACTATTTACTTCCCGAGCTTTACTATTTACCCCCCGAGCTTCACTATTTACCCCCCGAGCTTCACTATTTACCCCCCGAGCTTCACTATTTACTCCCCGAGCTTCACTATTCACTCCCCGAGCTTCACTATTTACTCCCCGCAAAACTCAGCACATGCCTTCTCCTACTAACAGCAGTTACGTTTCTACATGTAATCTCTCTCCCCGCAAAACTCAGCACATGCCTTCTCCTATTTACTCCCCACAAAACTCAGCACATGCCTTCTCCTACTAACAGCAGTTATGTTTCTACATGTAATCTCTCTCCTCCTCTTCTGAAAGTTCTCTAAAGGCCAGATCTACGTTGACATCACCTCTGTGCACCCAAAGCCACCGCACAATGACTCTTGTATACCAGTCAACCATCACCTCCAAGTCCCTACTTCAACATCCTCCTATTCACTGGTGACCTCCATATACAAAAAACAGACACACGAGAGTGATTCACAAAATGAATGATAGAAAAAAAGATAAAGACCAAAACCTGGTGCTTTATAAATGTCATCTAGTTTAAAAACCATCTTACAAAATCCTGAGCTCCAAAGAACATTATGTCAAAACCGATATTCAGAATTACAAATGTGTGAGTATATAAGAAAAAAACAGGCTTGTTTTGTTATCACTTCAAATCAGGAGGATAACGGTTTCTGAAAGAAATGGCAAAGAAAATAAATGAGAAAATCTTTAAAGATAAATATCTTTGTAGATTTAAGAAAGTATCTTATGAATAAAAACAGAAGTTTTCATAAATTATAGCAACGACAATTTGTCTCATGTATTTAGAAGAGGCTGAGCACTTATTTTACTCTCTTAAATACGTTAGTTCTTCTATTTAACTCTAAAGTTTAACAATGTATCTTGATTTCTTAACAATAACATTTAATAATTACTTAATTACAATTGCATTTTAATTGCAACAAAAATATTTACTTTGAGAGCCAGAGTTCAGCTGGACTGGTGCAGGTGACTGCTGTGGTCTCGACAGTGGCTTTGGAGGTAATTCTTTAGCCTGGGAGAAACAAAAAAATAAATACACGTAATTTTAAATCTTGTTTTTACTTAGGCACACATAACTCTTTTCTAATGAGTTTATTTAGCAAACTTTTATTATATGTGCTTAGTAATGAGGCACTCTCAAAGCTCATATGCATCCCTCTGGACTCTGTGTAATTGAACTGGACGACAAGACTCAGATGTGGACCGGGTGTGCTCCTCTCATGCCTGGAAGCCAACGTCCCCCAGGCACCTCTGACCATCTGTGCAAGGTCTTAGGGAGCTGCGAGTTGCAGGGATGGTAATTGTAGTAATTGGCTTAGCAAGCGACTGGCAGAGGCAGTGGCAGACAAACTCTAGGCTTCAGTTTTTACTCCATGAAACAGGCATCAAACCAACTCTGAAAGGGCTGTGGAGCCCCATGAACAAGGCACACGAACTCCTTGGTGCCCCCGGGCCTAACGTACCAAAGCGCCAGGATCTGCAACTATTATTCATGTCATTGTTATTACTGAGACAAGGTCTTGCTCTGTTGCCTAGGCTGAGTGCAACGGCATGGCATGATCTTGGCTCGGTGCAACCTCACGGGCTGAAGTGATCCTTCTGCTTCAGCCTCCTAGTAGCTGAGATTACGGGCACACGCCACCATGCCCAGCTACTGTTTCTATTTTCATGATAGAGAGAGGGTTTCACCATGTTGGCCAGGCTGGTCTCACACTCCTGATCTCAAGTGATCCGCCTGCCTCGGCCTCCCAAACATTATCTGTATTATTGATACAACCAAGTTCCATCCTTGGAGAAATGCAACCACAAAAGACAAATGACGTCTTTCCCTGAAATTTGTATAGAGGAAATGTCAAGGTAGCATGACCTTTTCACAAGAATGTGAAGTCAGTGAAACTACGAAGGAGGCTTAGTAGGTTCTTGGGAACCTGGTATCAGGGACAGAATGTTCTACAGAAAGAGATTTTCTGAGAACACTGAGTGAAACATAAAACCAAACGGTACAGAAGACTTCCTCTGCTCCCTTGCCGCTTTTCTTGCATTGATTCGTTGTCCTTCATTTTCATACTTTTCGGTAAAGGAATCAAGAATTTCATAAAGATCTTCAGCTTGAGCAGGCCGCGGTGTATCTCCAAATAAAATGTCATAAGCTCGGATATCTTGACAATAAAATCTAATAGGAAATATAAAATTAAAAACATTTCAACATACACAAATCTTTTCTAAACACAGCATGTGTGCACACACGGTGTGTATATATAATCATTCATATATAGCACTTCATATACACTACTTTTTAAACATTAACTTTAAGCAATATCCCATGTTCAAGTCTTAAATGTACCCCAAGTTCACCTCTACAGGCAACTACCATAAATATCCTTATATGTATCCTTTCTTTGTTAACATAAAAAGCACATCCATATTATCATAGAAATACTTATACTTGCACATATATACATACACACATATTCATATATAAACACATATAAATATACACACAAGTACATACATTTTTATAGGTTTTTACTTTTTAAGTTTCTTTAAAAAAGGTGCCTATAACCGTGGCTTTGTAATTTCCTTAAAATATTTATTTTTATCAAGATTAAATAAACATTTACCTTACATGCTTGGAGGCCCTGTCATTCATTAAGCAACATATTTATTTTAGTTTATCCAGGGTTTAGTTGAACTTTAGTGGGAAGGCCTGCCAACAGCCTCAAACCAGAAGTTTCTAAAAGCATTCTTTTGTTAACTTTTCTCAAATTAATAAAACCAGGAGTTAACACATCACTTTTGATTTTATAAGATGAATAGTTCTGCAAACCTTATTTTTCCCCATCCCTCCTATTTTCTACCTCTTGTGGTTTATATTTAGCTTTATCAAATAGTGCTGTTGGATTCCTGAGTGAGTCAGTGGGGTAAACACTGGGTGCTTTGTGTCGGATAGTGGCGGGTCTGTCTGCCACGCGTGGCGAATGTTAACGGCCAATGCCAGCGGGGCCAGCCTCATCAGGCTGGCAATTAGTGGAACTTCTGCAGGTTCTGGAAGAAGCCCTGCTGTCAGTCTTAGCTCTTTATCTCTTTCTGGGCCTTCACACATATTTTAGTGGCAATTTAGAGCCACTTAATTTGCATTTTAGGAAAAATTAGCCAGATGCAATTTAAAGTAGAAACTTCCCTTTACCTCTTAGGGTACCTCCAGATTTTTTTTTTTTTTTCAATCAAACTGTATTTCTGTATTTTAAATTGTTCTCTATTTGACATAGAGAAAAGACAAAGGTGGAGTATAGAACAGGAAACCTCACAACAAGGAACACCGACTGACCCATGAGTTGTAACTGGTGTGCCTTCCACAAACATCTGAAAATCACTGAAATCGGTGCATCCAACTAAGGGTATTACTACCTTACGCTTACGTTTCCTTTTTTTTTTTTATACTTTAAGTTCTGGGGTACATGTACACAATGTGCAGGTTTGTTGCGTAGGTACACGAGTGGCATGTTGGTTTGCTGCACCCACCAACTCGTCATCTACATTAGGTATTTCTCCTAATGCTGTCCCTCCCCCAGTCCCCACCACCCCCGACAGGCCCCGGTATGTGATGTTCCCTGCCCTGTGTCCAAGTGTTCTCATTGTTCAATTCTCCCTTATGAGTGAGAGCATGTGGTGTCTGGTTTTCTGTCCTTGTGACAGTTTGCTGAGAACGATGGTTTCCAGCTATCTTAAAATGCGAAGTGGAAAAACAGCATTTACAGTTGAATATATGCGGTGATTACCATCATATACGGTAAGACAAAAAAAATCACGCTTAGGAAAATGTTGGAAGGCAGTAAAGCAAAATGTGAATTGTGTTAGTCTTTCAAAGGGATCGAATGTTTTTTCTTTTATTTTTTGTGTGTCTTCTGCATTTTCCATGAGCATATATTATTTATATATTTGATTTTTAAACATAAGAGACACACTTAAAACCACATGTTGTAAAAAGGATATATAAATGTACTCTGCAAATTATATCAACTCTTTAAGTATTATTTTCTCATCACACTTTCAATTAAAATCACTTTAACTTGAACTGACTTTCTATTAGTTTCTTTCCTTTCAATCAAACAGCTGCCTTCTAAAGACACGCCTGCGAAGAGTCCCCTCGACTTGCAGTATGTGAAGACGGCGGCCGAGCTTCTCAGGGCCACGTTGCCTTCCAAGTTCCTGCAAAGCACAAGATTTTGCGTCACAAAGCTGTGAGCAGCTCTAAGCCCGAAGATAACTATTTAAATAGCACTCTTCTTCCAGCTCAAATGAATTATCTTGTTCTGTACCTTCTTCAGCTGTTTCTATGTTTTACTTACTGTAGGCCTAAATTAGATGTTTTAATGTGGCCTAGAGGAAAAACAGGCCAGGGGGAAGAACATACATGAAGTTATTACAGAAGGCTGTGATAATATAGAATTGTGTTGCAAAAAGTACAGTGCAGAATGTGTAAATATATTTTAAAAATTTGTAAGTCTGATATTTTCCAACTGGATCGTCCTCTCTTAAAACTGGGAAATACATCTCAAGAGTGCTAAATAATTTGGATTCTTTTTGCATTGAGTATTTTCATGGAACCAAGAACATTTTTAGATGATTTTACTGTGTAATTTCTATAAATAGTGTGGGTATAAAATATTTCTACATTGCACAATTAATCCAAGACTAGCATTTCATTAATAGAGAAGAAAAATACACTTTAAGTACCATAAACACGGCTCAAAAAAACACATCCATATCCAATTTTTATGATTTACTTTGAAAAAAGCTCTTTCTTTCCTAATGGAAGCTGAACTTTATCATAAAATCTGACTTGCCTTTGGCTCTCTCAAAGCTGAAGGTGGTTTTATGTTCAAGCCTGACAGATACAATGGCCTATGGTTCTAAAACATTTCATTATTTCTTGTGTGTTCTGGTTTCAGATTTTCTAGCTTATCTCACTGGCTGTGTTTTGTGAATTTCCTATTTGTGATGACCTCGAATCTTCTGGGCATGTATAAATCTGGAGATGTATAAATCTGTTCATTTTAATTCAAGTTTCCTATTAATGCAAAATAAAACATGCAGTCGTTAAACCTTTACTGTCTAACATCTATTTAAAGAACTCACCTTCCCAAGGGCCCGACCGCCACAGTCAAGTTCCCTCCAAGGGTTAGATTTCCGCCTTTCGCAAAAGCTTCCACAGCACGGTCATAATTCAGAATTATCACCAAGTCTGATACCTAAAGTGTAGAAACCCACTGATTTAAAAATAGTTAAGAGTAAATATCATTTAAAACTCATCTTGACTAAAACTCAACTACACCGTATGCATTGCAGCAAAACACCAATAGAAACAGGAAAGAATGTGAGACAAGAGCCATCTTTTTATTTTGAGCTGATGAATTATGAAGCCAATATTGCCACAGGTAATTACAGCAAACCCCAGTGAGCGTTTACTGTGCACCATGTGGATACTGTGAGGTTTGCCTGCATCTTGTCCTTTAATCTTCCACATAACCTGGTCGTGTAGGTGGTGATCCTAGGGTTTAGTGGGGTTAGGGAAACTGTCAGTGCTAACAAGTTAAACGAAGGTTGGAGGAAGGGACCCGACATGCTCTCTGATCTCATCAGACTAAACACTTCGTACAAGCCAAGCCCGAAGAGCACAGCACCAGGGATGACGGAGCTGAAGGTCCTGAGAGACTTTCTGTACTTCCCTCCTGGCCAGTGGCGTGCTCCTTACTGGAAGCTGAACCTGGGCCACTTCACTATAGGTCACAGAAGCTCAACATATCAGAAAGCAAAGTAGTTTCCACTAGGAATGCCTATTTCCATGACTTAATTTTTCTTTCTTTTTGAGAAAGAGTTTCATTCTTGTTGCCTAGGCTAGAGTGCAGCGGCATGATCTGAGCTCACTGCAACCTCCACCTCCAGGGTTCAAGTGATTCTCCTGTCTCAGCCTCCCGAGTAGCTGGTATTACAGGCGTCCACCACCACACCCGCTAATGTTTTGTATTTTTAGTAGAGATGGGGTTTCACCATGTTGGCCAGGCTAGTCTTGAACTCCTGACCTCGGGTGATCCACCCGCCTCAGCCTCCCAAAGGGCTGGATTACAGGCGTGAGCCACTGAGCCCAGCAGACTTAATTTTTCTCTAAATAAACGCAGAAACTACAATGAGATTCAACTGAATGCTCAAGGCAAGTCAACATAGCGAAATCATTTGTTTCTCAAATTCATCACTGCAGTGTGGAAGCACAAAGTTAGACCTGAAAAATAACATGACCCATCAAATGAGAGGCAGCATGGGTTAGAGGAGGCAGCATGGGCCAGGGGAGGCAGCATGGGTAAGGGGAGGCAGCATGGGTCAGGGGAGAGAGCATGGGTCAGGGGAGGCAGCATGGGTCAGGGGAGGCAGCATGGGCCAGGGGAGGGAGCATGGGTCAGGGGAGGCAGCATGGGCCAGAGGAGGCAGCATGGGTAAGGGGAGAGAGCATGGGTTAGAGGAGGCAGCATGGGTCAGGGAAGGCAGCATGGGTCAGGGGAGGCAGCATGGGTCAGGGGAGAGAGCATGGGTCAGGGGAGGCAGCATGGGTCAGGGGAGGCAGCATGGGTCAGGGGAGGCAGCATGGGTCAGGGAAGAGAGCATGGGTCAGGGAAGAGAGCATGGGTCAGGGGAGGCAGCATGGGTCAGGGGAGGGAGCATGGGTCAGGGGAGAGAGCATGGGTCAGGGAAGAGAACATGGGTCAGGGGAGGGAGCATGGGTCAGGGGAGGGAGCATGGGTCAGGGGAGGGAGCATGGGTCAGGGGAGGGAGCACGGGCCAGGGCAGGCAGCATGGGCCAGGGCACCCCTGGTGTGGAGAACCAATGTCCATCCCAGCTCCGTTTCTCGAGAGCTGTGGACCTTGTGGTCTTCTAACCAGCCTCTGTGTCTCTGACCACTCTGTGTTTAATATTTGCTTTACCAGGACCCACACCTCATGGAACGATCGTCAGAATCAGATAGAGGTGTCAGGTGCACCTGGAAGTTGACAGAGTGCTGGCATGGGGCTCAGTATTTGGGCTCAAAAGTAAAACTAGTTAGGTGGGAACTCCACAACTCCCTTTTGCATGCTGTGCGACCTTGGGCAAATCATTGAGCTGCTGGAAGCTGCAATTTCCTTCTCTGGAAAATGGGTGTAATAATAGTGGCACACATTCAAGGCTGTTTAGGGATGAATTGAAATCAGTTCAATACAACATGCAAAGGTCAAGCAGACTCGTGTTTAAAATATGCCTTCATTATACAGTTATTCACATTTTTTAATCAAATCAATGCTCTCAAGTCAACATTTTCATATGAGTGACAGAAAAATCCTGTTATAACCAAATGAGATTATACTTGAAAGGCCCTAAGAGAGTTCCTGATACAAGTATGTTCTTAATAATGTTCAATTTGAATCATTTTATGAAATAAAATACACTTAAGATCTGTAGGACAAACTAAATCTACCAGATAGCTGACCCACACCCGATGCTTCAGCTTGACGCTTGCCAACTGTTCATTTTATTTTACATATAGACAATTTCTGAGGATTATGGTGCTGAATGACAGATAATTATTTAGCTTTTCTTATGCAAAGTTAAGCATTTTCGCCAATGATTGTATAACCTGTGTCTTATATGTATTTTTAGATAACAAATTTGCCTTGCAGAATACTTGCCACTTACACACTCAGAAAATACACATTTCTACCCATGACCTTGTACCTACACTGGCTCTTATGTTCTACTTCGGCTTGGTGCATCGTGGTACAGTTAAGTAAGGCCAAGCTATGAGAGGCAGCTGAAGGAAAAAAAAAATTTGATTTTTTTTTTTTGGTCTGATCTCTCTTTAGTTCTTTTGAAATAAGAATAAGGCAATATTGCGTTTTTTGTTGACACTACCGATTAGCCCAAGAACCAGGTCAAAAGCTCTGCAGACAGCTTGGCGAGCCTGTGAGCAGCAATAGCCCTCAGTTTATTTCCACAACGTAGAAGAAGGAGCAAGACAAATTTCCTGCAGGAATCTGGATCAGCTGAACAATACATTGGGACGGCACTCTCAGAAAACCCTGTAAGTATTTGACAAGACTTCTTTAGAAGTTTGCATTAAAACTCAACGATATCACAGTCTGATCAAAGAAATAAGACTTGTGTTTTTTTTATGAGATCAGTAGGGTGACTATGGTTCACAACAATCTATTGACTATTTCAAAGTAGCTAGAAGAGAATAATTTGAATGCTTCCAGCCTAAAGAAATGACAAATATTTAAGGTGACAGATATCCCAATCACACTGATTTGATCTTTACAAATTGTATGCATGTATTAAATTACTACAAGTGCCAGGAAAAGACGTACTCCACTATAAATCAAAAAATAAATTAAAAAATAAAACAATAACTCAGATGCAAGTGTTTCAATTAAATAAATTCTTAAATACAAGAACGTGAAAAACCACAGCTGCCATGGAGCGGAAGCTGCGGGACAGAACGTCCCTCTTCTCTGCGACTGAATGTCCCGAAAGCAGCTCCTCGGAAGGTGCCACCCCATCTCCCTCTCGTGTGGTCAGCCTGCTTCACACCACACAGCTGAGTCCTGGGCAGTTATCCTGTCAGAGCCTCACCCCCTTTTGGATGATTGACTGCTGTCCGCCTTCAAGCCCCACATCTGGACAACCGGCTAAGAAAGCTGGGCTCCCTCCTGCGGCCTGCAGTTCTCTCTCGCCACTCTTGGGCTGGGCTTGGAGCCTGCCCCACGCTCCCTACCCCACTCTCCCTAAAAGCCTCACTACAAGGGGAACAAACCTTTCCCTCCCTCCTTGTGTGTGGCATGACCAGTCTCAATCTCTCAATATGCAAACCAAGCCTAAGTGGAGACCCTCCCGGCAACTCCCTCCATGCCTTGGACCAACAGATCTTTTCCTTACATCCCATTCTTAGGGGGCTTAAAAACTGGACTCTGGTCTCTAACAACAATTTATCCTCAACTGTAACCCAGATACCTTCCTCTTCAGTAAGGTGAAAGGGCCCATCTAAATTCTCCCTGGAAAAAGCTGAGTAATTTTTGTTTTTTCAAATTCCAATCTTGAGTAAGAGCCAGACTGCTCTGGCTTGATGGCCCAGTGTGAGCTCTGGCGCTGGAAATACAGCAAAGGACTGTACACGTCCAAAGCCAAGGCAGCAGCAGGACTTTCTGAGCTTTGGGCTTTGCTACAACTGCTATCCAAAAAGAATCCGTCAGTGGTATTTAAACGAAATGTAGCATTATCTTTCCTCAGACTACCAACTTTCACATCTTCACTTCTCACAATCACGACTCTCTTTACCAATCTCTCTCTTTATCACAAAAACTTCCCCCTCCCCCAAAGTAATCCCTAATCCAGATACAGGTATTCAGTCACTAATTTAGACCATTATTCAGTACCTCTGATGTTCCAAGAACAGGGAACTCTCCGCCCTATAGAATCTGGGAGTCTAAAGGTTGAGATTGTCAAACGTAAATTAACCCATGCCAGCCTTCTGGCTAAGCTTAGGGTCACTTACACTTACGGCCCTGGAAGAATGAGTCTGACATTCACTCTCCAGTGAAACCACGGCACAATGCAATAAGCTATCCAGAAGCAGCCTCAGGCAGCAGGGGCTGCGAAGCAGCATCCTTTGCATAACTAGATCTTGTTAGTTAAGAGAACTGACCTTAAGAACACACAATCAGACCTTAAGAACGACACTAGAGCAGAGTACGAGTCTGAGGCGGAGGGAGTCGTGGCAGGACAAGCGTTTAGAAAATTTCTTCTACTCTTTGACCGACTAGTATTGGTTGAAAGGACTGCTGCTGAAACTGTAACCAAAGGAGGCATTATGCTTCCAGAAAAATCTCAAGGAAAAGTATTGCAAGCAATAGTAGTCGCTGTTGGATTGGGTTGTAAAGGAAAGGGTGGAGAGATTCAACCGGTTAGCGTGAAAGTTGGAGATAAAGTTCTTCTGCCAGAATGTGGAGGCACCAAAGTCGTTCTAGGTGACAAGGATTATTTCCTATTTAGAGATGGTGACATTCTTGATAAGTACGTAGACTGAAATAAGTCACTATTGAAATGGCATCAACATGAAGCTGCCCATTCCACTGAAGTTCTGAAATCTCTCATCATGTAAATAATTTCCACATTTCTCTTTTATAATAAACTAATGATAACTAATGAAAAAAAAAAAGAACACACAATTAAGATTGCAATCTTTTTCCACCAGGATTCTCTAAGAGAATTAAGCTCTAATGTCCTAAGGCATCCATTGGTTAGCATCTCCCCAGATATTCTAGAGTAATAGCACAAATAATTAAGAAGGTGGTACTCAAATCCCTTTCTGTGTTTGGAAGGTCAGATGAAGAACCTGGAGCAAATGTTAGGGTTTTGCAGCATTGGACAGGTGGAAGGTGTGGGAGGTGTCCGAAGGAAAACTGAGACTAACCCAGGCACAAAACAATGTGCCACAACTTTAGCCCAGAACCAGCAAGATTTGCTGCCAGTCACAAGTATCCAAAGGGAAGGGGGTACTTAAAGACCATTTTATTCAACTTTAAAATTTTTTATTTTACAGATTTGATTCAGGAAGATTAAGTACTTTGTTCAATGTTCTGTAACTAATAAAAGAAGAGCTAAAACTTAACAATTACAGTTGAATCTCCATTCCACCATAGAATGTATCTACAAATCAGAATGCCACTGCAATGGTAGCATAAAGAGGCCACAGACCCTCTCGAGAGCGAAATAACCACAACTGGTAAAAATTATTTTAAAAATTAACACTTCTGGAAATTGTCCTAAGGGCAAACGGCAAGTGAAGAAAATGAAGACACAATGATTCAATGACCACTATTAAATATTGGTAAGGACAGAAAGAGTTGGTGACATTTGCGCTACAACCTGTGCCCTGCTGCAGGTCAGCCTGATGGAAGCTCCTCTTGGGGAAGGGGGTTTGCAAGAACACAGACTTCCTTCCCCTGGCCCCTGGTCAGGGCTGCAGTATCTCCACAGGAGAGGCTTGCTGCCAGCATTTCTCTTCCCACAGCTCCATGTACAGAAGCTCCATTCCAGGCAAGAGCAGCTGAGAGGTCTGGAGCTTCCTTCCTCCACCCAGAACCCATGTGTAAGTGGAGGCTCCAGCCCAGTACAACAGTCCAGGAGCACCAGGGCCCAACCTACTCTGGCCCCAGTTCACCTGTGAGGCAAAAGCTCCACGCTGACAGAGGCAAGTCACGCTACTCCCCTGCCCAAGGCTGCAGGGATATCACTCCAGGAGAGGTGAGCCCCTGCCCCAGCCTCCAGCTCTGGAGCAACAGCACAGAGATCTTAGGCAGAGAGAGAGACAGGCTGCAAGGGCAGGCAGCTCCAAAGCTCTCCCCAAGGGAAGTGAAATTTTTTGGAACAGAGAGTGGGTGATGGTTTTGGTGATAAACAGGTAAGATGAGGTATTCAGTTCCATGACAGCAACAAGCAAAACCACGGGTGGTCTAGAAAATCATCAGGGAGAACCAGCGACAGAGATAGCTAGGAAGAGCCCTGCTGAAATAGAAATGAGCCTCAAAGACCACCTGGGCACAGGAGCACAATTTTAACTGGATCAAACTGTGGAGCAATTTATGTCCCCACGGCATTGTTGGAAACAATGGAGCGATCAGCAGGCAGTTAGCGGAGGCTAACAACGGTGTGTAATACCAAGGGAGACAAACAGCTTAACACACAGGTCAGGGACAGGGACAGTCAGAACATCTGTCATCTCAGGAAAACCGTATGCATGCCTGTAGACAACATTGGAGGCTTCACAGTAGTGGGGCACAGAATTCATTCAAACGGTCCAGCCAAATCTCTAAACAAACAGCAAGCAAACAATGAGAGGCTCCTGGGGGAGAGGTTGAGCCTCCAGAGTTGATACAATATAATATCTAAAATTTCTGATTTTCAACCAAAAATAAGAAGACAAACAAAGAAGTGAGAGAGTGTGAGCCATACATAGAAAACAAATTAAAAACAGAAGCAGGCGAGAATGACTGCCTTTCAGATGGTCCAGCTATCAGATTTAGCAGACAAAGACTTTAAAACAGCTGTCATAAATATGTTCAAAGAATTAAAGAAAACTATGGTTAAGAAGTAGAAAAATATACAATGAGAATATCTTATCAAATAGAGAATATTAATAAAAACATAAAATTATATAAAAGAACCAAATGGAAATTCTGGAGGTAAAAAGTGTATTAAGCAACAAGAACAATTTAATTTACTATAGGAGTTCAACGGTAGATCTGAGCATGCAAAATAAAGAACTGGTAAATTTGAAGATAGATCAATAGAAAGTCTTAAAAACTAAGAGAAAGAGAGTGAAGGAAAATTAACAAAAACACAAGAAACCTCGGACACCATTAGGTGCACCAACATATGTGTGATATAAGTACTAGAAGGTAAGGAAAAAGAGAAAGAAGCAGAAAATTTTTTCAAAGAAATAATGGCTGAAAATTCTCAATCTGATGAAAAACATGAATCTACACTCAAGAAGCTCAACAAATTCTGAGTAGAATAAATGTAACAAGATACACTCCAGATAGATAATTGTAAAAAATCTTAAAACTCAAGAGAAAAATCTTGAAAGAGACAAGAGAAAAATGACTAATCACATAAAAGGAACCCCAGTTAGGCCGGGCACAGTGGCTCACGCCTGTAACCCCTGCACTCTGGGAGGCCGAGGCGGGCAGATCACGAGGTCAGGAGATCGAGACTATCCTGGCTAATACGGTGAAACCTCATCTCGACTAAAAATACAAAAAAATTAGCCGGGCACAGTGGCGGGCGCCTGTAGTCCCAGCTACTCGGGAGGCTGAGGCAGGAGAATGGTGTGAACCCAGGAGGTGGAGCTTGCAGTGAGACGAGATCACGCCACTGCACTCCAGCCTGGGCAACAGAGCAAGACTCCGTCTCAAAAAAAAAAAAAAAAAAGGAACCCCAATTAGAATAACAGATAGATTTCTTGTCAAAAACAGTAGACTTCAGAAAACAGTAGGATGACAAAATGTTGAAAGAAAGAACTGGTCAACTTAGAATCTTATAATCAGTAAAAGTCTATTTCAGAAACGAAGAGGATATAAAGACATTCCCAGATTAAAAGATGCTTTATTTAAGTTGATGGAATTTGTTGCTAGTAGAACCACTTTACAAGAAATATTAGAAATTCTAAACAAACTCTTTCAGGCTGAAAGCGAGTGACTCTAGATAGTAATTTAAATCCACATTTTAAAAAATCACCAGTAAAGATAATTATCTATAAATAATAGTATAGATGCATACATAGTTCTTCTCATCAGTTTAAAAATAAATTTTTTCTATATGTTAAGTCTGTAACATATAGAAATATTATACACTTGACAATAACCATACAAAAGAGTCAGGTGGGAGCAAAGTTGTCTTGGAAATGACACCAGATGGTAACTTGAATGAACAGAAACAATGGAATAGAACCAAAAATGGTAAATAAAAAAGGTTAAAATGGCAAGTTCAATGAGTAAATACTTGCTCTCAATTATTCTCTGAGTTTTCTAAAAACATAAAATTATATAAATTATTAACTATAATCACGAATTGCTGAGTGTGTATCGTATATAGATTTAACATATATAACAGTAGTAGCACAAAAAAGGAGAAAAAAGACTAGAACCATATGAGAGTAATGTTTTTGTATCTTATTAAAACGAAGTTCCCATAAATTAGAAATATTTAAGACATATTGTGAGCTCTGGAACAACCATTAAGAAAATGACTCAAAAACACAGTTAAAAAATCATAAAAGGAATCAAAATGCTATAGTACAAAACATTCACTTAATTGAAAACAGTAAAGTAGAAACAGAGGGACAAAAAAGGCATGGGATATAGAAAAAAGTAAAATGGCTGATACAAATCTAATGATATCAATAATCTATTAAACGTAAATTAATCAAACAACCAGATAAAAAGCCAGAGATTACTGGCATGGATAAAACAACAATAACAACACAACAACATCCAATTATATGCTCCATAGGAGACATGCTTTAGATTCAAAGTTACCATTAGATTGACAGTAAAAGGATGGAAAAAGATGCATCATGCAGATGGCGACCATAAGAAAGCAGGAGTGGCAATATTTATATTAGACGAAATGAACCTCAAAACAACAAAAAACGTAATTAGGAATAAACAGGGACATATAATGATAAAATGGTCAATCAATTAAAAAGATATAAGAATTATAAACATAGTAATATACATATATTTATATAAGCACATAATATCAGAGCCCCAAATACGTGAATCAAAAACTGACAATCTAGAAAGAAGACATACGACAATTTAACAAAAATAGCTCGATGTGTAAATAACCCATTTTTAATAATGAAGAGAACAATTAGTCATAAGATTTTCAAGGATATGGAACAACTAAACAACCGTGTAAACCAACTAGACCCAATGGACTCCTGGAGAGCACTTTACCCAGTAACGCAGAACACACATTCTTCTCCAGCACACGTGGAATACTGCACAAGACAAGAGTCTATATGTGAGGCCATAAAAGAAGCCTTAACCCATTTAAAAAGACTGAAATTATACAAAGTATTTTCTTTGACCCCAATGGAATGAAATTTGAAATCAAGGACAAAATAAATTTGGGAATTTATAAATATGTGGACATTAAGCAACACACTCCTAAATAACAAATGGATCAAAGAAGAAATCACATGAGAAATTAGATAATACTTTGAGATTAAGGAAAACGAAGACACAACATACACACACTCATGGAAGGCAGCCAGGGCAATGCCTAGAGCGAATATGTAGCTGTAAATGTGTCTATTGAAAAAAAACAGACCTTGAGTCGGTAACTTGAACTGCCTTTCAACACGGACGAAGACGAGTTTAACTGAACTTTAAGCAACAGCCTTGCTTGGACCTTTCCCCTTCTTTCCCCTGCTTCCCTTAGGAAGCACAATGTCCCTTTCCCCGAAGAACATTGGCTCAGTATATCACACGTACTTGAACTGGTATCAGGCTCCGCTTCTAGTGAACCCAATCTGACAACCACGCACTAGCTGTGTGATCTTAGGTAAGCCCTAATGTCTCTGTATATTGAAAATAATGTGGACTTTGCCTACCTTGTATAGTGCCCTGAAAACGATGGCTTGTTATGCAGATGAATGTTACAGTGAGGTGGCCTTTACTTTACCACCCAAGCACGTGTGAAACCAAGATCAAGTGACTTTCCTGAACCTTCCTTTTTTCCCCAGTGAGGGATGTGCAGACAAGACAGACAACAGGAAACTCTGTCTTTTGAATAACATGCCGCCTAGATGTGGGACCAGACGCTTCCCAATCTGCCACTCTCTGGCTACCTCCTACTGGAGAATTCCCATGGCTTGGTTGTTTTACGAATAAAATGAGAGCAATGACGACCACCTTCCATGGCTATGAAAATGATTCCGTACGAGCGTGCGTACAAGTTTTGTAAAAAAATGGCCGGGCGCGGTGGCTCATGCCTGTAATCCCAGCACTTTGGGAGGCCGCAGCGGGCAGATCACCAGGTCAGGAGATCGAGACTATCCTGGCTAACACGGTGAAACCCCATCTCTACTAAAAATACAAAAAATTAGCCAAGCATGGTGGCAGGCACCTGTAGTCCTAGCTACTTAGGAGGCTTGAGGCGTGAGAATGGCGTGAACCCGGGAGGCGGAGCTTGCAGGGAGCCGAGATTGTTTCATTGTACTCCAGCCTGGGCAACAGAGCGAGACTCCACCTCAAAAATAAATAAATAAGTAAATGAAAATAGAATGGCAGATAGTTATTCAACAAATACTGGATAGTACGAACCGAGTACGTGCGTGCCCTCTATGTGCTTGAAAGGAAAATCCTGTGTGGTTACAGGCCCTGCCATTGTCCCGTTTTACAGAAAGGAAGTATTCACGGGTGTCTCCTCGGTCTCTGTGGACGTAGCTGTGAAGTTTGAGAAAGTCTCTGCCCTCCCGGTACTCACAGTCCACTTGAGGGCTGGTCCTTACTATTTGTGGCTACTGGGACATGGTAGCAGCAAGTTCCAAGAGAAGCCAGGCCCAAAGGGGACGCTCACTCAGCCAGTCACCTGAGTCAGAAGTGCCCTCAGAGGTTGGTCCCTTCAGGAAAGACGTGTCCACCCTCCAGCCCCCCAGTGGTCTCGGTGGGCACCAGACCTGCTGTGATGAGAACAGCCTGAGGGAGCCGCTCTGGATGCCCCATGCTCCTGTTCTGACTCCCTCCCTCATTCAGACAGCAGGCGAGAGTGCTCCGTTAGGATGGAGGCTTAGACAGAATCTGAGGGTGCTTCATGGAGAGCAAACGGTGCTTTCTGCTAACATCGAAAACCAGCCGATGCTGTGACATCACTCACACTCACAGTTACACGCAGAGACTTATCTGTGGGGCTCTGAGAAGCAAAGTCAGGTCATAGTTAAGAAGTTTAAAGCTCATGTCTCCAATCCCTAGGAGATGCTTCTTATCTCTGTTTGAAACTGACATGTAAAAGTTGATAGTTATGTTATTTAAATGAAATTCCATAGTTAATTTCCATACTGTCATAAAGACAGGCTTTGCAATAAAGTTTCTGTAAATGGCAAGCCTAAATAAGCTGCAAAGATGAAGAAGATATTAACAATAAAATTATGTTTTGTGTCATTTCAAGTGCTTTGACTGTAGAAATCCATATTTAATCACCAATATAAGCCCAGAGACTTATATAAGGCTATTTTTAACTGTGTTTTGCAGATGAAGAAGCCAAGGTGTGGAGAAGAAAAGCTACTTCCTAACGTCAGAGTGGAAGCACCCGGGTCAGAATTGGAGCCAGAATGGTCTGACCCAGTCTTCTCTCTCATAGCTCACCACTATCTCATACTGTCTTTTAAAAATATTACTGTGTATCAGTCTAAGGCCGGGCACAGTGGCTCATGCTTGTAATCCCAGCACTTTGGGACACCAAGGTGGGCAGATCACCTGAAGTCGGGAGTTTGAGACCAGCCTGACCAACATGGTAAAACCCCATCTCTACTAAAAATACAAAATTAGCTGGGTGTGGTGGAGCATGCCTGTAATCCCAGCTACTCGGGAGGCTGAGGTAGGAGAATTGCTTGACACCGGGAGGTGGAGATTGCAGTGAGCTGAGTTCGCGCCATTACACTCCAGCCTGGGCAACAAGAGCAAAACTCCGTTTCCAAAAAAAAGAAAAGAAAAGAAAAAAATACTGTGTATCAGTCTATAAAATGTTTAAAGTCTTTCTATTTCATTTACTGGATCAAGAGACTACATTTTACTTGTACTTGTTTTTCAGGGCTACTAATGTGCCCTATGGCTAAAAGTCCAAAATTTTCAAAGAATTACCACGGAAACTCAATTTTTGATCTTTAATATATTGAAATTTAATACAGACATCATTTCTGAGTCTCTCATCATTTTTGAAATAAATGCTCAAAGCATGCCCCCAGCCTCACAAGGAGCCAGAGGGTTGTGGGAAGAACGGGTTGTGACTCAGCCCAGTTTAGCAGTATGATCTGTTGACAGAAAAAGGCCCTTCTACAGGGAGGGCCAGGGGACTGGGTGGGGGTGGGGAAAGGGGAAGAGAGGGGAGGGAGGGAAGGGAGAAGGAAAGGGAGGGAAGCCACAGTCCCTGATGAAAATACACTTTCCACCAGAGGGCGATATTTTTGAAAGCTTTGATTTGGTTGCATATGGTACAAAAATGCAGTCATGATAAGCAAAACTGAAATATGTTTCTTTTATACTACAGATTTATACAGCAGTGAGTAAGAAAGATTGAATAAAGATGAAAGAAGAGTTAGAAATACTTCGTCCTAATAAGGCTGAGGGAATTTAAAACTATGTCAACAGGGCAAATCTACAAAGGATTGTTTAGGAAGAAATGGACTGAAATTTGAGAAGAAAATGAATTGAGCGTACCAGGAGATTCGATTTCCAGTCCCTTGCAAAACGACAGACTGAAGATGAGCATCAGCCCTAAGAGGATCCCTGTGTAGGAGACCTCTGTGAGCATGCACATCCGCCCGACAGACGCCGGACTCCCAGGAGCAACGTTATAAACTGAAATAACGTGAAGTTCTTCTCTACTTAAAGAATTTGGAGGGATATGAATATCATATGTTGCAAAACTGGATTTTTCCACAAATGATGATGCACTCACTGCCCACGTGATTTCAATGTCCACTGAAGGAGAAGGGTGGCTTTGCCATGAGCAGTCCATAAACTGCCAATGACAGCTGGCCGGGTGTTGAGATGTGCCTGTTACACAAATGTACATGAGACAGAAGCAGATAAAACAGCAAATGAAAGAAACCCTACTCCTAATGAAAAAAAAGGAAAGAAAATGGGAACCATCAGATAGCTTTAGTTAGACATTCATTGAGAAAATAAAGGAAACAATTTTTCCTAGGTGCCAACGGTAACAACAAGAACACTAGGAAACCTCTCAGTTTTCACGGATTGCATCTTAGGTGTCTTCAGAGGATATGGCAGTTGTATGGACAAGTACAACCTACTTACCTCAATTCCTATTTCAAATCCCCCACCAAGGCCAGCTATTCCAATGGCTGAGGGTGCAGACCATTCTAATAAAAAAAACAAACAAATGTTATCCTAACATTAAAACACCCTCAACATGTGAATATAGGAGGGAAAAATGCTAAAATCTAAAGAGTGCTTCTATTTAAAATAATGAGACTTGGTATTTCCCCCTGTTTTAAAGTGTTCTTCAAAAAGAATATGTAATTTTTAAAAAGTTGAAAATATTTGAAAAGTATTAGATATTCATTACCAGTCTCATAGCCTTACAAGCCCACGTCCTCTAATCTTTCTCTACCAACATGCATAAGACCAAACTATTGGTTCCCTAACCATTAACCATACAGAGCACCTGGTAACTTCAACTGTCAATACTTTTATAACACAACTTAGCTATAGCTCCAGTCTTCAGCTAGAATTCTGTCATAGATTTAAGAGATCAGAAGGATTCAAGAGAGTTTATTATCTAACAGTAACATAGTAATTGTTTCCATTGTACATTTCTGAGGGCAAAAACTATTCTAACACCTCTGATGCTTAAGCACAAGAAATAGGCTACAAATTCAAGGTTGTTAAAATTCTAACAAGATAAATTACATTTAGTACAGTAATTCTATTTGCCATGATATGGCTCATTTTAGGATTACTATATGCTTATTTTTCTTGATACAGAAACAGTCATGTTAAACAAGTCTAGAAAAATATATTTTCAATTTGGTGGGGGGATGGTCTGGCCAAAGCACTTTTTGAAAATGGTTGCTACCATGCATACTAGATAATAGAATACTGCTGGAATATATCCAGAACTCTCCTACCTAGGCTTAGAGAAGTATGGGTTACAGAAATCAGTGTCTGATAATTTTTTGTTCCCTATGTTAGGAACTGTCCCCGTGTTAAGATGCTGGTCTTGGCCGGAATCCCGGGGAACGTGTTGTGCCTTATTTGGACAGTTTTGAAATTACTGTCAGCAGAGTCAGCAGCTGCAGCTCAGGAAGAAGGGAGAGAAAAGTAGGTTTTGAAACCAGTAGGAAGGTTTGCTGGGGCTCTGAGACGAGCTCAAGGCTTCGTATTGGCTGTCCCTCCCCTTGGTCAGCAAGTCACCCCGTCAATGGAGCAGCTGGGGACCTGAGACATGCGGGGACTTTCTCATAGACTTTAGTCGCATCTGACAATGGGCCCCCTTGGAATGTGCCTCTGCTTTGTTTGGTTTTACTGCTGAGAAGTCTGCCCATGGAAATTTGGATAATGCTTGAGAAAAAGAGAATTGTTTTCTTCCCATTTTCAAAGCCACACACTGAGCTATGAAAACTGATCCATATAATAAGGAAGAGGTTCTTGCTGACTGTGGGGATACCTTGGGAAGAAATGGTGAATCTGCTGACTGCTATTTCCAGGCCATGTTTCACAAATGCATATATTGTATACTTATTGTCTGTGAGTGTCCCATGCTCTCTCAAAATAAAATAAAATTATGCTAAAAAACTGCTACTAATAGAAAATGTGTGCACTGAACAGCCAATGTTAAATCAGTATAAAAAACATTCTAGTTGGTTTTGACACACCTGTGTGCATTTTAAATATTACTATAAATGTTAGTACTTGGGATTCATGGCAAATATTTTCATTTCATCTCTGAAGAATCAAGTAGTAGATTTCATCCCAGAAAGTAAAACCCGATGATACTGCTCTTGATATGATTCTGGCTTGGGAAAATTCTTCAAATGTCACAGTTTTTATGATCTACCACAGAAACAAAGAAGTTCACACATGGCCCCTTATTTTCACATCAATTTCCATAAAACAAAAGAAAGTAGCATACCATGAAGCTGAGGAATAAGAATTCATATTAAACAAAAGAAATGCACACGCTGTCATATTTAAAGATTTTCTCCATGGAAGAATTACAAAATGCATGCAAAACAAAGTTAGATCTACGTGTCGTGTCTTGTCTAATATTTTGAGGACAGAGAGAGACAGAAAGGCTAGTTCCCGTGGCTTGTTCACTGACACCAAACTGCACGTTCAGTCGAGTAGCCCTGATTACGTAAGTTTTAGTTGATATGCAGGAAACCTGTCCTACTCGCTATGCAATGTGTTCACATGAAAACAGACAGAACAAAGAATGAAGATTCTCTGCTCCAGTGAACAGACGCCAACTTACTTCCATCTGGAAGGCGCGCCAGTACAATCCCGCTGCCTCCTCTGGCGGTCACCAGGAAGCCGGCTTTGATCACAGACAGAATTGCAAGGCCTTTAGCCTTCGCAATTACATGAGCTGTTAACGCGGAAAACAATGGGAAGGTAAGTATTTTGATCGATGTGCCTGGATAGACGATCGAGTGTTAAACAGAGTCAGAGTTAGGAAGTATACCTAATGTAAATGAGTTAATGGGTGCAGCACACCAACATGGCACATGTATATATATGTAACAAACCTGCACGTTGTGCACATGCATCCTAGAACTTAAAGTATAATTAAATAAATAAATAAATAAAACAGAGTCAGTGTACACAGAGGTTCTCCCTAGGAATTCAGGGCACACAGGAGCAATGAACAAAAGTCAGTCACTCAACAAACGGGCACGAGGCCTCTCTATTCCCACATGTGTTTTTTGTGTTTGCTATTTTTGCAGTGCTAAACACAACATCAGAAATATTCTCAAATCCTGTAACTGACAAAATAAACTAGATATTTGAATGAGATTTTATTGATATCTGCTAGCATTGCAAATGTTTTGGCAATTTCAATTAATTTAGGATATAGTGCACAACATAGAAGATAAAAGTTACATTTTCAATGAAATTAAGATCCATATAGTACTAAGGAGAAACTTTAAAAATTACAAAAAGGCAGCATGAATTAGAACTTTGATCTTAAAGCCATGTAGCTAAATTAACCTTGTATTAATTTAAAAAGTTGGATTCAAAACCAGAAAAATTAAGTAATTTTTCAATGTTAAACCATTTTTAACTTTATAAAATGATCCGCTATAGCATTTGAGTACCACTTAACTATTAGTACACTGATAATATAATTCCATTTAAAAATACTGGTTTATTCACATTTCAGAAATGTTCATTACATAAAATGAGGGTTATTAGTATATGTATCCAATGAATACAGTCCCACAGGATTCTGTGAATTTGTGACACAATGATACCTCATTCAAACTAACACGGGAAGCCTATCATATAACTTTAAGGTAGCTTAATTTATTATTATTTTTGTCAAATATTCTGCCAAGGAAGTGAAGTCAGACATGGGGCTCTAGTACACAGAGCAAAGGCTTTGCAGATGCCCCAAGAGAACACTAAAATTCTCATGTAATTATGCCACCATTTCAAAGTTTAAACTAAGAACCGACTCTTAGAAATAATTCATCCAACACCATGAAGTTCACATGCAGAACATTCGTGGAGCTGTTCTTAATAAGAAAGCTACAGAAAATAAGGTTGCATCCTGGATGGCTGTCTACTAAGTGTACTTTATTTTTGTATTTTAAAAGGTTATAATTATATTGTAATAAGATTGAAAGCTGTATAATATGTCATGCAGGTTTATTTTTATAGTCACTTGTTGGCAGAATGTCTTCCTCACATTCTATTCTCAGTGCTTCCAGAGTTGCTATTGCCCCTATTGGGAATACTAGATATTAACAAAAGCATGTTTTAAAATGAACATATTCCACATGTCAATTATATTTTTATAGATTTCCACTCAAATTCAGGGACACTAAAATAATAATAATCACTGAATAATCTACCAATTAGCTTTTGATTTATAACATAGAATGTACCAATTATAGATTTAATTGCTAAATTAAGTTTCACTTACTTCTTAGAATCCTAACATTAGAGGAGGCCAAACACACCACTGGGAAGGTCTCAAGATCTAGATGTCTTGCTTAAATGTTTTGTAGATTCAATTGCTTATCCTATGAAATAGCATCTTTGTTTTAATGTAAATATAATGCCCCCCACCAGACTCTAAGGAGATGGGGGCCTGGATCTCTGTTGGCTGTGGAACTTCTGTCTTTGCTACACCCACGCCTTGGGGTAATCTATTACTTAGACTAATGTGCAAACAGAATTTCTTTTTCTGAGCTTCACCCACTGACAGGGGCTCCTTCAGAATACTGATACTGAAAATCTAGTTTTTCTTGTTGAGTTTTCTTTAGGCTCTAAAGCAGCGCTTCTGAAACTAGTGTGTGTGTGTACTTCACTGGGACCTTGGGAGGAATGCAGACTGATTTGTGACATCTGACCAGATTTCTCACAAGCTCCCAGGGGATGTCAAGCTGCAGATTCAGACTGCACCTGGAGTAGCAAGGCTCTACCAAGCACTGTTTCCTCAAGACAGGAGGAGTCACCGGGCCAATGCAACAATAATTAATATCATGATTAAGATTATTAAAACAATAACAAATTTTTAAAACATTATTTAAAGTTTTATTACATAATTTTAGATATCTGGCTTAGAAAAATTAAACTTATCTCTTTAATGCAGGACCCAGAGTCATGTACTCTGATTAAGAGGGAGGCTGGTCTGTAACAGTGTCCAGGCTAATTGGCATGAGACAAGTATTCTGTGAACACCCTTTGGAAATAACTAGAAGTGCTGATGAACAGATAGTGGTTTTCAAAGGCTCCCCTCTGGACCGATCTTATGTGTCACTGACTACTTAAGAATTACATGAGAAACACGTTTAAAACATGCATTCCTGGACACACTGCACTAAAAGTCTGATTTGGCAGGTTTGGAATGAGGCTTAAGAACTGTGCTTTTACGGTCTAGGGGATACTGATGCACACCTGTGTTGGGAATTACTGATTAATGTCTTAAACCACTAGAGAATGAAAATGTCTTATGTGGAAGGAGGAAACACAAAATTAAAATTTATGTATGAGATTAGCTGGTGAGTTTGCGAAGTTAGCTTGCAGAGTCCTTAGCACGCAATGCGAAGGACAGACAAGGCTGCAGAGAGCTGAAGTGGAACAGAAACATGTGGTGTTTGGGGCACTGGCACCCCGGGGTGGGAGGCAGGAGAAAAAGCCTAAGCAAAAGGGAGAGACAGGGAGGGAAGAGGCCCTGCTGGTTTGCCTGGTCTGCAGTTGGCCCTGTCCAGACCCCTTGCACCTGGAGTAGCAAGGGTCTATGAGGACTGTTTTCTCATGATGGGAGAAGTGACAGGAATGCAAAAATAATTACTATCATTATTAAGATTATTCTATCAATAACAAATTTTTAAAACAGAGCTCAGAGTCATGTGCTGTGATTGATTAAGAGGGAGGTTGGTCTGTAACATTGCCAAAGTGAATTGGCATTTGGATCTCCTTGGCATGAAACAAGTTATGCTGTGAACACCCTTTGGAAATAACCGGAAGTGGTAATGAACAGGTAGTGGTTTCCAGAGCATCCCTGGATCAGCCATGAGAAAAAAGGTGGAGGAACTACTTGTTGGCATTGATAGAGGCTTCTGCCTGAAATGGAGTGTTGAACAATGCAAAAAACAACTTAGGAAAAAAACATTTAGAGATGAACAGCACTCATCCTATTTACCTACCAGGAATGATCTTATCAGGTCCATTTCTGGAAGTTATTTCTGTGAATTCTCTTAATATTTTGGCAGCCTTTTTTGCTTCTGATTTCAAATTGGAAGGTATAGGGTTATTCACTGAAAGATAAAAAAAGATATTTTAATAAAAAATTCTGCTAAATAGAAGTGAGAAATTTATTATAATTTCATTCTTCCCATATACAATTGTCAGAAGTGTTTGAACCAGAGAGACTCCATCTTGAATAGGAGCTGGTGAAATAAGGCTGAGACCTACTAGGCTGCATTCCCAGGAGGTTAGGCATTCCAAGTCGCAGGATGAGACAGGAGGTCCACACAAGATACAGGTCATGAAGACCTTGCTGACAAAACAGCATGCAGTAAAGGAGCCGGCCAAATCCACCAAAACCAAGACAGCAATGAAAGTGACCTCTGGTCATCTTCACTGCTCATTATACACTAATTCTAATGCGTCAGCTGCCAAAAGACACTCCCACCAGTGCCACAACAGTTTACAAGGGAACATGTAGGGGTTACCCTACATGGTCTAAAAAGGGGAGGAACCCTCAGTTCTGGGAATTGCCCACCCTTTTTCCAGAAAACTCACAAATAATCCACTCCTTGTTTAGCATGTAATTGAAAAATAACTGTAAGTATCCTTAGTTGAGCAGTCCATGCCACTGCTTGCCTATTGAGTAGCCCTTCTTTATTCCTTTACTTTCTTAATAAACTTGTTTTCACTTTATGGACTTGCCCTGAGTTCTTTCTAGCGTGAGGTCCAAGAATCCTCTCTTGGGGTCTGGATCGGGACTCCTTTTTGGTAACACAATGAAGCATTAACACAGCATAGCCTATCAAAGGAAATGAACTGGAAATGCTCATTGACAGTATCATCTCTCTTTCTACTAGTAAATAAAATCTATGCTGAGAGTGGGAAACTCTAAACTCTCAGAATCTCAGAAATTATAAAATCCTTGGGCCCCAAAGGATGTTAAACAAAACCTGGCCAAACCTCTGTTATGTATCTTCTTCCTGCAATTAACAGACTTCAATACTAACTTAAAATAAGAATTTAAAATTTAAAAATAAATATATTTTGTATCTATAATATGTAGTATAAAATTTAATATATTTTGTTGTTCTTGTCAAAAATGTTGGAACTGGCTGCCTGTAGACTTTCCGATGAGTAAAACTCTAGGAGACTTGGGAATTGAGTCTACAAGTAATGCTGGCCTGCATTTCTATGGCACTTTATGTTTTTAGTGTCACCTGGACATTTATATACTCATTGGAGGGCTTGTCATAAAAAAGCTCACATAATTCTTCCAGCTCTGAAGTGTATCAGAGAAGATGGACTATTCTTTTGTCACTGGACGAGGAATCAGCAGAGCGAAGAAGCTGAGTGTTTCAGTGCAGGACCACGAGAGCCCTGAGGCTGAGAAGTTCTTGTCTCACTGACTACAGTTAAGAGGCTCATGTGTGACTGTACTGCACGATGTCAGGATCTAGAAGGTTGAAGGCATTCATTTCCACTGTTTCACCTCAGTAATTTACAGAATGTAGATGAAGTACGCTAATGGAAGCTTGCTTTTGTAAAAGGAAAATAAATCTCAGGACCCCAAAATCACCAAGCCAAGGGAAAAGTCAAGCTGGGAACTCTGTCAGGCAAACCCGCCTCCCATTTTGTTCCTAAAAAGATAGCTACAAAGGTAAGCTTACACACTTCCCTCACAATTTGCCACAAGGAAATTCCCTGTGGACAAAAGATGGAACTCAGACTCTTCCCTCTGCTCACGTGAGACAAATGCATATCTATTGCTTCCTTTGCACTGTTTGTTTCACTAAGCCAGACGAAGGCGTAAGTGACTATTCCTGTAAATCGCATACTCAAAGACTAATCAGAAACTCAAAAGAATGCAACTGTTTGTCTTTTATCTACTTATGATCAGGAAGCCCCCTCCCCACTTTGAATTGTCCCGCCTTTCTGGATCTAATCAATCTTACATATATTGATTGATGTCTCATGTATCCCTAAAATGTATAAAACCAAACTATACTCAGATCATCTTGAGCACAGGTCGTCAAGACCTCCTGAGGCTGTGTCATGGGCCATCCTTAACCTTGACAAAATAAACTTCTAAAATTGCTTAAGACCTGTGTCAGATCTCAAGTGTAAACTCATGGTTTACTCTTTCAACAGATCAAATGCTCAGAGCATAGGAGAAAAAATCCCTTTCTTTTATTTAAGAAAATGTAAATATTTCTAATAAAATGTGATGTATTTTGGTGCTTGGTATGTTTGAAAGATGTAATTTATTTTAAAAGTGAAAACTGGCTGGGTACTCCCAGCACTTTGGGAGGCCAAAGGAGGAGGATAACTTGAGGCCAGGAGTTTGAGACCGGCCTGAGCAACATAGTGAGACCTCATCTCTACCAATAAAACATTTTAAAAATTAGCCAGGCATGGTGGCGTGCACCTGAAGTCCTTGCTACCCAAGAGGCTAAGGCAGGAGGATTAGTTGAACTCAGGAGTTTAAGACTGCAGTGAGCTATGACTGGGCTACTGCACTCCAGCCTGGGCAACAGGGCAAGGCCCTGTCTCAAAATAAAATAAAATTTTAAAAAGTTAGAACTGATTTAGGGTCATTTTGGAGTTCTATTTTAATTTATTTAAAAGATGTCAGTATCAGGTCTTTGTGGCTCAACACAGGAGTATTAGTATCAAATCAGGAAAAAAATCCATCCCAAGAATCATCAATGGCATTAAGTAAGATAGAGGAAGGTATTTCCATAGATACTTTATGCAAAATTAAGTGTGCATGATGCATGTGTGTAGCTCTTTACTCCTTTTAAAAACAAGTGGCATCACAGCATTAGTGTATTTTGGCACGTTGCATTTTAAAATTATCTCAGAATGGTTAAAATATTGCCTCTTAGTGTAGGCTTTTCAAATCAACTTCATGAGACACAATTTACAAAATGAAACCTACCTGTTACAGGTATAGCTCAGTGGGCATGGACAGAGAGAGGCAGAGACCACCCCTGACGACTCCATCCATGCCCTCTGCAGTGGTCACTCCTGTACCCAGTCCCTGCCTCAGGTTGGTGCCAATCTGAGTTCTGTCACTGAGTATGAATTTTGTCTGTGCCAGAATTTCCTGTAGTCATCAGTGTGTGTTCTTTTCTATCTAGCTTATTTTACTCACATGAAATTACTGAGACTTACTCACATTGCTGCACAGATCAGCTCTTCCTTTTTGAGTGCCAACTGGTATTCTAATGTGTGGACATAGCACAATTTGTCCTTCCAGTCACTGTTGATAGACAATTGGGTTCTTTCCAGCTTTTGGCTATTATAAATAAAACTGCTATAAATATTCCTTTGTAAGCCTTTTGTGAAAAAATGTTTTATGGCTGGGCACGGTGGCTCATGCCTGTAATCCCAGCACTTTGGGAGGCTGAGGCAGGAGGATCACCTGAGGTCAGGAGTTGGAGACCAGCCTGGCTAACATGGTGAAACCCCATCTCTACTGAAAATACAAAAAATTAGTCTGACGTGGTGACGCGTGCCTGCAATCCTAGCTACTCGGGAGTCTGAGGCAGGAGAATTGCTTGAACCTGGAGGTTGCAGTGAGCCAAGATGGTGCCTTTGCACTCCAGCTTGGGCAGCAACAGTGAAACTCCATCTCAAAAAAAAAGAAAAAGAAAAAATGTTTTATTTCTCTTGGGTAATTACCTAAGATAGGAATTGCCAGTTCATGTGGTAAATGTGTATTTAGCAATGTAAGGAGCCACGTAAGAGTTCTCTAAAGTGATTATACATTTTAGGCTTCCACCAGAAACTTATAAGAGTTCTGGTTATTCCACATTCTCACAAACACTTTCAATGTCCAGTTTTTAAAATTTTAGATATTTTAATGGGTACATAGTGGCCTTTCATTGTGGATTTAATTTTCATTTCTCAGATGACTAATGATGTTGAACACTTTTTCCTATTCCTATACCTTGTAAAGTGTCTGTTTAAATCTTTTGTCCATGTCCTTTAACCACTTTTTAACGGAGTTGTTTTTTTGCTTGTTAAAGTAAGTTTCTTATAGATTTTGGATATTAGACCTTTGTTGGATATATAGCTTACAAATATTTTCTTCTATTCTGTAGGTTGCCTGTTTTCTCTGTTGATAGTTTCTTTTGCTGTTCAGAAGCTCTTTAAGTAGGTCCCATTTGTCAATTTTTGTTTTTGTTGTAATTGCTTTTGGTATCTTTATCATAAAATCTTTGCCAGGGATTATGTCCACAATGGAATTTCCTAGGTTATCTTCCAGAGTTTTTATAGTTTTAGGTTTTACATTGTTAAAGCAGGCTAAATATGACCTGAGGACTCCATACTTCAATATTTGAGTCCTTGTAGATGAACTGCAACCTAACTTAATATGTAGACAAAATTGAGAACCTAACTTAGGAGTATGCATCTGTAACAATAGCTCAGTCTTGGCCAATCCCAGCAGCCATACTTCAACCACTCATACACTGCTGAGTGTTCAAATAAGGCAAATGATGAGCTGTACCCAATCCAGTTGTTTCTGTACTTCATTTCTGATTTCTGTATTATCACTTCCCCCTTTTTTTTTAAGTCTATAAATTTGTTCTGACCATGAGGCATCCTTGGAGTCTCTCTGAATCTGCTGTGATTCTGGGGACTGTCCAACTTGCAAATCATTCATTGCTCAATTAAACTCCTTAAAATTTAATTCAGCTGAAGTTTTTAACAACATTCAAGTCTTTAATCCATCTTTATTTTTTTGCATATGGTGTAAGGAAGAGGTCCCGTTTCAGTCTTCTGCATATGGCTAGCCAGGTATTCCACCACCATTTATTGAATATGGAGTCCTTTCCCCATTGCTTATTTTTGTTGACTTTGTCAAAAATCAGATGATTGTAGGTGCGTAACATTAATTCTAGGTTCTTGATTCTGTTCATTGGTCTATGTGTCTGTTTTTGTACCACTACCATGCTGCTTTCATTACTGTAGCTTTGTAGTATAGTTTGAAGTCAGGTAGCATGATGCCTCCAGTTTTGTTCTTTTTGCTTAGGATTGCCTTGCCTATTTGGGCTCTTCCTTGGTTCCATACGAATTTTAAAACAGTTTTGTTTTCTTTTCTAATTCTGTGAAGAATGGCATCGGTAGTATAATAGGAATAGTGTTGAATCTATAAATTGCTCTAGGCAGTATGGTAATTTTAATAATATTGATTCTTCCTATCCTTGAGCAAGGAATGTTTTTCCATGTTTGTGTCATCTCTGATTTTTTTCAGCAGTGCTTTGTAATTCTTCTTGTTGAGATCTTTCACCTCCTTGGTTACCTATATTCTTAGGTATTTTATTTTTGTGTGTTAAATAGGTGTTTTAAATTGCATAATCTGCCATTTCTAGATCTGTTTTTGACTGATTCTTCTTCTAGCTCTGCATTATGTTTTCCTGTTTTTACTCCTTTCTAGTAAAACAGCATTGTAGATATTACCATGTTCAGTGCCTAGATTTCATTGCTTCCCTTAAAAGTGCTGACACTTGTGTTAGCAGGCAGTGAGTTACTTGCAGATCAGCTTGATCATTTGTTGCCTTATTGTTGTGTTCTGTTTGTGTGTCTAGAGTAGTCTTTAGAACTATTTTACCCATCAGGTGTGTCCCTTCTGGGTTCTCTCCTGGGTGCCCTGGTTGTTTAATAAGCTCTCCCCATTGTGGCTGTTTGGAATGGCTGTCCCCAGCCTGATGCAAGCACTGTGAATAGTTCACCTCAAAGCTTCATGGCAGTTGTTCTTGCCCTGCTTTGCAAATTTCACCCTACACAGATAGCACTTAATATTCAGCCGAAGGCTCGGGGGATCCCTTTGCAGATTTCTGGAGCTCTTTCTCTCAGCCGTCCCTCATTGCTAGTAACATGCGCTGCAAATTCCAGTTACCTCAGCCTCTTCAGACTGTTTCTGCCTCTTCGTTTCAGCAGAAGCCTGGGCTCTGGGTGCCCCCTCCTTGTCCTGCAGTTTAGGAAGTGCTCCAGGCAGAAAATGGTCACTAATGGAGTTCACCTCCTGTTCCCCTTATCTTATGGATCTCAGACATGTCCAACATGCGCAAACAGTGCTCTACACACAGTTGCCTATTTTCCTAGCTGTTTACCATGAGTGTAACAGGAGCCGTTTCACTGCCATGGCCAGTAGCTCCCAGTGCATTTTCCATTTGTTCTTTTATGATGAGCAATGCTGACTACATTTCTAGCAAAGGTTTTTCATGCACCTTGTCTATTTACAAGGGGTTTCTCTCTGTTTTGTATTATACATTAAAAAATTAATATTTTTTCTGGAATATGATTTAAAAACATTGACTCCCTGTTACTTGTCTTTTGAATTTGCTTTTTTTCTGTTTTTTCTTAATGAAATCAAATCTGTCTTCTATCTTACAAGGGTCTTTTAAAAAAACACAGTAATTTTCAATTTCAAATGGGAAAATAAGCAAGAAGAGCTAGGAAATAATACGTAAAGGAAGAACAATGAGAGCCCAGCCTTGACAGAATCTGTGACACATTACAAAGCCTCAGTAATTAATACATAATAGCAGACGCAAATGTAGGACAAAAATTAATGTACAAAGAAGAAAATTCAGAAATTGACCCAAATATATTTTACAAATATATAATAAAAATGACATTTCAATTCTATGTTGAAATGATGTATTGCATACTAGATAATGTTCATTTGGGGAGAAACACAAAAAATTCATTCATGGCTTTGTGTTACAGAAAGATAAACTCCAAATTCATTGAAGATGAAACTCCAAATTCATTTAGAATGTCAAATATCAAATTATAAAAGAACCAAGAATTATAGAATTTTTTTCAACTTTATAGTGCAAAAGACCCAAGTATGGCAACAAAATTTCTCTATTTCTATATTTTTACATGATCAGCAATTATTTGTACAAAGCACAAGTACACTGTAAAATACAGGAAAAAGTATAGATACGCAAATATGAAGGATAAAAAGCATCTATAACATTAATACCCACCAATACTACTGCCTGCATTTTGATGTATGCTTCAACTGATTCCTATTGCTAAACATGTAGACTGATTCCACTTTTAGCTTTTATAGCCATTACTGTCAGGTGGTAATTATCTTGGGAGAGATGCTCTAGATGTTCAATACATTTTAATTACATATATACATATTATACATATATCTAGATGCTGGATACATTTGAATTAGCTCACTGGAGTGGAAACTTGTTCTTTCTGCTGCTGAATATTTCATCTACTTTATTTCAGAGGCAGCACAACTTGTCTGCTTCCATTGATGCTGCAGCCATAGTATCCAGAGTGGGGTGGGTGACCCGAGGCTGCTGTATCAGGACAACATTCCTCTTTGTGCCACAGCAGGGCTTTATAACCAAAGCTGGTCCAATACCAGCATCTGATGGAGGACTTGTGTAGGAGCTGCCAGAAGAACTTTTTCCAAGGCACTTCTGTTTCCACTTGCTGTGGGATTTTTGTCTCCACGGGGGTAGAGTCTGAGAGCAAAGCCTTGGTAGGGGAGCCTGGCAGGAGGTGGAGAGAGAACCTGGGCTCTGCAGAGCCAGACTGAAGTCACAGCAGCTCTAGACTTCTTCATCAAATGGACCAGCAACATCTTTTTCTGTTAAAGCCAATTTAGACTAGATTTTCTGATACATGCAACTGAAGCACTGTAAATAATACATAAATCTTATTCCCTCAGAAGACTTTCTACTTTGAACTCTCAACCAAGCAGTATTAGAGCAGTCAAATAAGCAAATTCCTCAGTTGAGAGTTGATCTTGCAAACATCCTGCTGTAGGGAAAGGTCATGGCCTGATTTGTAAACACGAGAAGAGAGCCATTGGACTTGGGAATCAGATGCAGCCTCACACAGCTGCAGACCACAAGACTCATCCTAGACACAGCCTGTGTCACTGTGATCCAGCTGTTGACAAGGCTGGGCACAGTAAGGACATCTTCAGTGTGTCAGTTGAACTACAGAAAATGTTACAGATTCTAATCAACTTCTGATAAAATCATGCCTAGTCATAGTTACATGCAGTGAATTTCTCTGTCAGAACAAAAACATAAGCAAATAAAAATGTAGATATAAGCCTCAAATTCCATCCTCAGCATTAAATGATGGCTCACCCATTTTTCTTCTGCTATACCATAAGGCATATAGAGCATGACCTGTTCAGAGTGCTGATGTCCCATTCTATCATATGGCCAAAGTTACGAAGACACAGGTCATTACTAATGAAGCCTCTTAAACCTCATATCGTGGTTAGAATTTGCACTCTCATAAACGTCTTAAGCCCCTTGAATCATGCAAAATCTCTATAAATATTTAAGTTTTTTCCTTAAAAAAAAAAGGGTGGCTGCCAAACCTCAAGCTAATAAACTTTCAGATAAAGTTTTCTTTAAAAAAAAAGTTAAAATGTTTGAAATTTTCATAGTAACACATTTTTTAAATTAGAAGGGCTTATAAAATACGGTAAAAAAAATTTTTCTTTGGAAACCTCAAAAGTGTAAATCAGCTTAAGATCTGGAAATAATTTTAGGTATTGATCACAAGTCTATAAACTCAATGCTAGAGCCACTGGGGGCAAACACGGACATGAGAATCCTACTTGGAGCCAACTGCCACCTGAGGTGAGAAAGTTGACTACGGTTTCCAATCTAGTCTTCCACGGAGGGTCAGGAATGAAAGCAAGAAGACCCAAGGGCCCCTCTCCACCACTTTCATTACCAGAGTTCAGATTTCCAAACTTTTGCTTCCCTTATATTATTTTCTTCAATGGACTCTAATTATGAAAGGAATACTTACAGGAAAGCAAGCTTAGTAAATTTGGTTTTCCAAGTTCTTATTGATTACATATTCATCAAATTATTAAACCTTATACTTTACGTGAAATGGAGATTAACTCACTAAACTGATAAAATTCCATCTAAGATCAAAGGAACTAGAATGCTGCTAAGGACATATTTAGAATAAGTTGAAGAAATCTTAGCCAAAAGAAAGTGTTGTATCTAATCTTTGAAGAGGTTTTCAAATGTTGCCTTAAGCTACTTTTATTAAGAAAACTGCATTTTGAACCCCACTGCTTGACAACTATTGCCTTTGTTTCTCAAGTCAATTCTTACCTTTCTGTGGCCTTGGTTTAACTACTTCCTTTGTTTTAAGGAAACAAAGCTTGTCAGTTCTCAAAATAAAAACCTGTCTCTCTGGTCAGATCATTAACTTCCCCAGTCATACTTTAAACCAGACTACCATTTGAACATCAAGTGCTAGCCTGAGCTTGTTTCCAGTCCCCGGAACCCAGCCACAGGGGAAGGAAGAGGACAGAGAGAGGTTTCTCTGCTCCCTCGGGAGATAAGAAAGCCCTTTATTTATCCCTGCCATCCCTCTTCTCCAGTTGAAAAGTGTGATCTTGGTACAGAGCAGGTCCACACATGCCACACTGGTCTGATCTTTTAGAGTAAAGAAAATCTTTTAAAAAACTTCATGTACTTAGGTCTCAAAGAGCAGAGAATTATGTCTCATCATGACGCCACTCACTGGCAAATAAGCTGGCGTGCACAGGGACTTGTGAGGCTCTCAGCAGAGTCAGGGCAGCAGTTATTTCCCTTTGACTGCATCAACGTCCTATGTTTGTGTTGACATGCCAGATCCTTATTTCTGCGGAATGAGAAATCTGAGAATACAGATTTCCTAAACAGAACAAAAGTATCAAATCACTTTTGATGAGCAAACATTAAACTTTTTTTTTTAACTTACAAAGAATGTGGGGTAACATTTACTAGTTTTACAGAAATTTTGTTTAAATAGAACATTAGTGAACTAAATAACCAATTCTCCTTAAACATGATAGACAGGATGGAGGCTATCACTCTGATCATTTTAACCTCCAACATAGTAATTTGTAAACATCAATCGCTGCACAAGTATTTTAATAAGAGGCCAGCCCATGGGAGTAAACAGCACCTTAGCCTCGAGACCTGTTATTTCTCTCAACTATGTGTACAGATTTTCTAAGTCGTTATGAATTCAGATATTCCCTACATCTCAATAAAAACACCTAGGAGAACAAGAAATCAGGACATGCATCTCCTGTAAGCAGAAGAGAAACCGAGCACCTACTCTCTTGCGGGGGCAGCTTCCTATCACTTTCCAACTCAGCCTCCATGGGGGCACGAGCATATTGGTTCAAATGAAGTGAAAAGGACACATCTCTGTCCACAGTGTAAATCCCATTTCCTTACGGTGGTCAACCGATTCAGACCAGTTTCACACTTCCTTAACGAAGGAAAAACTCAGCAGCCAGCGCTCAGGCCCAGCGATCTGAGAGGACCCGTGCTTGCCACGACCCCGCGGCCCAGCGACCCCCGGTGCCAGGTGTTGGGGGCACTGGCCCTTCTCTTCCGGGTGTGAAGGGCTGGCCCTTCTCTTTCAGGTCGCGGGGCGGGCAAACTCGAACCTCGCCGGAGCCCTACTCAAGGCCTCCTCCCCGCGCCCGCCGCGGGTTCCACGCGCATTCCAAGCGCGCGCATCCGACCCAAACTTCAGAGCCGCCTCCGTGGAACGGAAGGATGGTCGCTGACACCTGGCCATTCAAATATCAGGAAGTTAAAAATAACACGACCATCGTCAGCATTCCAAACTTCGGGAAAGCTTTTCTAAAACTGGAAAAGACGGTGGCTACACTTCAAAATCGCTGTGGTCAAGAAAGTCCTGGGAGCTGCTCTAGCTCAACTTTGGGCGGTTTGCGGTTAACAGACGCGCGACCTAGAAACCCCAGAGGCATCGTCGGTTTTCCCGCCCTCCTCCTCCCACCACCGCCCAGCTCCTGAGAGGGGAGGGGGCGGCAGGACAGGTGGGACCCCGGTACTCACTGGTGCCCGCCCGGCCGTGGCGCCCGGTCCCAGGAAGAGGAAGGCGCGCCGCCCCGCCCCGCGGACTGGGAGGCCCCAGTGAGGGCGTACCTGCGGCAGGTGAGGGAGGCGGCGGCGCAGGACACCTGCCGTGTATGTTTGGCGGACAAAACCCACGCGCCCGCCGGGCCGCGCTCGGGCCTTCGCCCCCGGGGACTTCGGAACCGCCCCGTCCTTAAGATCGAAAAGCCCAGGGCCCCGCGGCGGCTCCAAGCACGGCGTTGGGAGTGGGGGTCCCGGGGGCGTGCCCAGGCTCAGGCCCGCCCTGGTCCGGCGTGGACCCTGCGGGGCTCAAGCCAGGTTCCCCCGCCTGACCCAGCCAGCCTCTCTCTGCGAACTCGGACGACGCGCGCCACAGCCAGCCACGTGCGCGGGACTCGCGCTGTGCCCCAACCCAGGTGGGCCGTCCGCGGAGCCGCCCGAGCCTAGAGCCCGCCAGTGACTCTCGGCCCTTTCTGATAAATCTTTTATCCCGCGGCTCCTTCCTCTCCAAGCGACGCACCCGCACCCCTCCAGGTGACCCCCCACCTCCCGCCCCCTTTAGGTGACCCCCGCCTTCCGCGGCCCTACTCCTCCAGGTGACCCCACCGCGGTTCCTCTCCTTTCGGACAACCTGCAGCCCCGCCCTGCAGCTGAACGACGGGCCAGTCCTCGCAGCTGACCCGGCGGCCCTCCCCACCCGCCTCAGACCGTCGCAGAACCGCCCCGCAGGCCCTCCGCAGCCGATTGCGCAGGCGTGGCTCCAGACGCCTTGCCCTGGCGGCCGTTGGGCGAGACTGCGCCGGCGCGCAGGGCGAGAGGCTGGCGGTGCGCATGCGGCCGCGCGGCGTGCGGAACGTCGCGGTCTGTTGGCGCTTTGCGCGCGGAAAGAATGGCGGACAGGCTACCAAGTCCGTGCTGTTTGTGTGTCCTGGGTAAGAGGGCGGGACTTACTCTTGTTCCTGACGTCCCCTCGAGGGTGGGATCGGGCTTGGCGCTGTGGATTATGCCGCCGGGCTAGGAACAATGAGGGGGGAGGCCAGGGACTGGGAGCTAGGGTGTTCCAGGAGTGTCTCGCGCGCGCCCCCGTTCCCCATCCGCCCGCTGCACCGGCCCAGCCTGCCCTGTAAACGGGGTCCCCTCGCACCTGCCATATATCCGGGGCTTTTGGCATTTGCAACCACAGCCCTACAAGCCAAGGTTCTTCTTTGCACCTACTAGGGAAATCCCTCTCGTTCCCCTCCAATGGGCCCAGGTAGGCCTGGGGTGTGTTGGACTGATGTGCTCTTAGGGGCTCCGGAGTCCCTATGACAAAATTGTTTTGCTTGCTGGTTTCCTTAGGCGTTCTTAGATATGGATCTGAGCTAACGAGATGAAAGTTTTACGGTTTCGGGTTTCTTGATTGTAAAAGCCAAGCCAAGGAGACCTGGAGGTCCCTATATAACTTTGCCCATGAAAAATAAAAGTGTATTTTATTAATGGCTTTTAGGAACTTTCTAGCTTAAAATATTTTCACTCCTGGAATTTCAACACTTAGCTTACCTTCAAACATAATTTACTTTCCATTTGGTTTTCAGGGATCTTCCTTCGGTGTAGTACTACAAGGTTATATCCTCGGTGCCTCCACCCTGAGAGGAAGGCCTAAATTGTCAGTAGTCCAGTTACTTAAAACCTTCTGTGAGTTTACATTTCCTGCAGAGTAAAATTTCTGTTTATTTTTACAGACTCCTCACTTTATCTCCGGTACCTTTTCCTGCTCACACTCTCGGGACACAGGCTTATAGAATCTTTCGTTGTTCTGTAGCACTTCACATGCTTACTGAGCCTCCATGGCTGGGTGCCCATTATGCATTTTGCCTGGAACGTCTTTTTATTTTATAAAGTCAAACCCAAATATTTCCTCCTTTGCTTTCCCAGACCATGAGTTGCTTCTTGTGATTGCTTATCGACATCCTTTATTACACAAATTTTACTATAATTATTTGGTAGTCTGTTGAAATTCCAGCTAAGTTTAATTTTCTGGAGGGCGATAACTGTGGCTTATTTTTCATTTTGTTTCCAGCTTTAGGACAATATATGATAAACGCTGACTAGGTTTTGTAGAAGTTAATTTCTGTGAAAGAAGAATTGGAAGGCTCGCCTTATTTCACATTGGTAGTGGGCATCATTTGATTTTTTTTTTTTTTTTTTTTTTTTGAGGCGGAGTCTTCACTCTGTCGCCCAGGCTGGAGTGCAGTGGCGCCATCTTTCGGCTCACTGCAAGCTCCGCCTCCCGGATTCGCGCCATTCTCCTGCCTCAGCCTCCCGAGTAGCTGGGACTACAGGCGCCCGCCACTGCGCCTGGCTAATTTTTTGTATTTTAGTAGAGACGGGGTTTCACTGTGTTAGCCAGGATGGTCTCGATTTCCTGACCTCGTGATCCGCCCACCTCGGCCCTCCAAAGTGCAAGGAATACAGGAGTGAGCCACCGCGCCCGGCCCGTCATTTGATTTTTTAAGACTCATTGAAGGCTGAATGGAATCAACAAATTTATTAAACAGTAGTTTGGTTAAGGATGGTTACCAAATACTATTCCATTCCCTTGTATATTTCTGGTTGGTATTGTCGATTATGCTGGTATGAGGTATCATGGTTGCTGTTAATGGGGAGGTGGATCCTTGCATATGCAGTAGTCCCACTTTAGCTGTAGGTGGTACATTCCAAGACTCTCCAGTGGATCCTGAAACCGTGGATAGTACCAGACCCAATTGCTGTCAATTGGAACATGTGTCTGCTCATTTCTTCCACCCGCAAATGTAATGCCGTTTCCACCTTAACTAAGCACTTACAACTGTGGTCGCAACTTTCGCAGTTTGAGGCGAGACGACAAACGGTCAGGAATTTCTTTTTCCTTGTTTACATTTTCATGGATAGAAGATTTGTTCGTACTGTAGATCTTAGTAACCTCAGTATAAGATTTTTTTTTTTCTTTCCTTAAGAAGTCAAAAACTTTCACCTTTTTACTTAAAGGTAGTGCTTATGGCCTCTCTGCCGTATCTGAATTGCTAGCTTCACTACTCTTATGCTTTGGGACCATTATTAGTAAACTAAGGGTGACTTGAACTGAGGAACTGTGATAGCATATCACAGTGGATCAGATAAGCAAGAGGGCAGTAGGTGGATAGACAGCATGGATACGCTGGACAAAGGCATGATTCACTTCTGGGGCAGGACGGAATGGGATGGCATGAGAATTTATCCTGCTACTTAGAACAGTGCACAATTTAAAACTTAGAAATTATTTGTTTGTGGAATTCTTCATTTAATATTTTCCAACTGAAACTGACCACGGGGTAACCATGGAAAGCAAAGCCTTGTAAAAGGGGGGAATACAATTCAATGATTTGTTGTTGTTGTTGTTGAGCGTCTGCTATATGACATGCACTCCTCTAAGTGGTAGGGATATATGGAGTGGTGAACACAACAGACAAAAATCCCAGCCTCTCTAGAGCTCACGTTCTCTCAGTCACCAGCCAGTGTTAATCGATGCACTCAGTCGGTTGGTATGAAGCATTAAGAAAAATAGAGCAGAAAAGGGGAATGAGAGTGGAGGGCAGTTTTGAGTGGGGTGGTCAGGGAAGGCCCCACCTGATAGATGACCTTTGAGTAAAGACTTGAAGGAGGTGAGGAAGCAAGCCTAGGATATTTTGGAGAAGCATCCTGAACCCAGAGGAAAGCAGGTAAAGGTTTTGAAGGGAGAATACTGGCCATGGTCATGAACCACAGGGAAGTGGCTGGGCCTGGTGGCTGGATACCTTTTCTCAGTCGAGATTCCTCATCTATACCGGAAGATTTAGCAGATAATTTGAGTGACTGTTTTCTCAGTGCTTCCATTGTAGATGTATAGGGAGAAGTTAATTCCTTATATACACTGGTCCTTTAGGGCAGGAGTCTGCAAATTCTTTGTGTAAAGAACCAGATTATAATTGTTTTAGATTTGCTTCACATGCCATACAGAAAGGGTGTAGCACAAAGTACCTATGCATGTGGTGAACCTGGCTGTGTTCTAGTGGATCTTCATTTATGGACTTGACAGTTGGATAGAACTCCATATAATTTTCACATGTCACAAGATACGCTACTTTTGGATTTTTTCCAACTACTCAACAATGTAAAAATTATTCTTACGGCTGTGGGCTGTACACAAAGGTGGACCATGAGCCAATTTACAGACCCATGTTTTATATCCAGATCTTGGGAGGCCATGTGAAGACTTGGGCTTACTCTAAATAAACATTGGAAGGTTTTGAGCAGAGGTGGGAAATGATCAAATTTAAGTTTAAAAAGAAGAGTTTCAGCTGTTGTTTTGAGATTAAACTGGAGGTGGAGCATGCCCTTACTGGTTGGGTGGTGAGTAGTTGCATTCTGAGGGAATTTGAGCGGTAAGTGGCATTTTATTTGGTAGCCATATAGAGGACAGTAACAGTTGTATGCTTTTGAAATGTAAAAGGTTTTGTTCCTTCAAAGCATTTATTTGGACCCTTTTGAGACTGAACTGTAGAAAAGCATCAGAGGTTTTTCACCAGGGAAGCTAATGATGGGAAATAATTGAGCTGCTTACTACAGCCCAATCGTGAAGGGTGCTTTATGTTTTTGTAAGATAGAGACTTACCAGTGAAGATGATGCAGGAGCCATGACCCAGCCAGCATGGTTGGTGGAGATAGCACATGCTGGTGGAGTCACTTTACTTCTGGGCTACACCCATACTGGGTGCTGGGTCTCTTACCAGGTATAGCAGACACAGCCCTACCCTCCCAGAGCCTACCTGTTGCCTTTTATGAGTCTCCATCCTTGAATTGAAGATGCTGAAGAAGGGTATGAAATAGTCTGCCTAATTTGGAAAAGACAAACTTGATACTTTACAGATTGAAACAGTTTTTAAAGGCATTTGAGGTTGGAGTGTTCTGTTTTTAGAACTTGTTCTGTAGGTGAAGTACACGCAGTGTTTCACTGAAGACCAGGGTGCTCCATTTTTTCATGACACAATTTGGTGGCATCAACTTTCGAAATCAACAGAGCAAACTACTACTAGCCTTCAGGACAGTTAATAATGCAAGTTTTCATATTGTTGTGGGGAAAGTGAACTGTTATTTTACAGTTAATGATAATTATTTGTAAACGTGTGGGGCTAGTCTTTATTATTATATTTTTAGATGCTGAGATATTAGGGATCTGTTGTTGTACAGTTCCAAAATAATAATAAGTGTCTTAATTTAGAAATACAGTGTTTGCTGTTAAAAATATTCCCAGGGTATATGGTGACAAGTAAAAGAGTGACACACCCATGGGAAGCCTTTCAGTAATTAAAATAGTGCTGATGACAATACCTGTTTAAAAAACTAAACAAAATTTAGAATGTCGAAAGGAACAACTTCACAACACAAATTGGCATAGAGAGGGCATTCAAGGCTAATTTGTTGTCTCTCCCTTTATGGTTTGTAGGTAAGATTTTTTACTGCTGTGGAAACTGCAGTCTTCTGTGAGAAAAAAATTACATAATGTGCTTAGGTCTTACAATGTAGAAACTGAAGGCTGTAGTAAGGCAATAAGTTGGTTTTCTGAATTAGGGAATTAGCTGTGTTTTACAACACTAGAAGATCCTCATTGTACTTGTTTGTCATAAACAGAAACCCTAATAATGATAAAGAGTAAACTCTTATTTAGTGCTGTCTATTCTCACAGTTCTTCTTTTTCTTATCTGTTTCCTAAATTCAGTTCCTAATGTTTGGACTCAGTATGGTGCTTTGGCATTAAGGATACTGGAAGGCCTCAGAGTAGCCCCAGAAGCAAGGTCATAGAAACGGTCATTTATCTTCCCCAACACAGATCATAGAAACTAGAACTCCTCTCCCGCAAAGCAAGCCATAAAACCTACAAAACTTCTCTCTTGAAGACACCATTCCAGAGGGGCCCTGCCTCATTCCTGGGGGAGGAAATGCTGTGGCCCTGCTGGGTTTCCCTCCTCAGTCCACTACCATTGGATCATTTCCTTTTGTCCAGTTCCATTTCTACATGGCTGTGCATTGGTCATCTAAGCATCAAAACCATTTCCCTGGGTCTTTGGGTCTTCGTTTCTGAAGGCTTCCATGTCACATAAAACTGATTAAATAGATTTGCTATGTTTTTTCTCTTGTTAACCTGTCTTTTGTTACAGGAGTATCTTCCATGACCTTTATGATGGTTGAGGAATGCTGCCACACCTTTCCACTCTGACACTGTCTTGTATTTGCTCCTTCATAGGAGCCTCTTACAAGGTCTCTCCAATTCAGTAATGTGCTCTTCTCGTCTAGCGTTTCCTTAGCCCTGCCAGTAATTTTGGTAACTTGTAGGAAGGGTGTATGTTTTAAACAACTTTCTGTCTTCAGGTTAGGGCACAGTGCTTGGCACATAGAGTGGGCATACAAAATATGTTTGTTGAATAAGTCATATTACCCTTTTCCATAGGACTTTCTATTTCTCCTCATAGTGGCTACGCAAAGTCCAAGTCTTGGCCCTTTGTTTTAGGCCTCCTGTATACCAGCCCATCAGTTTCCAGACACTGGCTGTCTATACCTGAAGCATCGCAGCCTCACCTGCTTAGTGCCACAATCCCCCTGAGTTAAATGCCTTTCCCTTCCTCTGTCCATTAAGATCCTGATCATCCTTTAAATATCATCTCTAATCTTTCTTTTTTCTGGTAGGAAATTTTCTTACGTCTTGTTTTTGCTTTGTAGCATCGTTTTTTTTCCGTGCTACTGTAGTATATTGCTTATTAGTATTCATTTTCCCACTTTTATTATAGCCAACTGTGTACCTCCCATAAGTACATTGCTTGTATATGGTAGATCTATTTTGGGATGAGATCTTACGTCTTTTTCCTCTGGGTAGTAATGAATTTGGCCCTTACCTTAGCTCCTGGGAGGTAACCTCTAAATGCCCTGGAGTGTTCTAGGAGTGATGGGAGTGTCTTAGTTATTGAAGGTGGCCCCCATAGTATATATGCTCATGAGGTGACTCAGGGTGGGGGCTTTGAGCCATGGGTGGGAGGGGGCCTGGAGATTGAGTTCAGCTGAATGGCCAGTGATTGAACCCATTGTGTCTCCCTCCAAAAACCCCATTAAAACCTCAGAGCACCATGGCTCTGAGGAGCTTCCCGGGTTGGCAGTACTCTTTGAATATTGCCCCATGTTGATGACAGGAGGGGAAGGTGTCCCAGAGGACAGTGGAGCTACCTGTCAGGAAACCTCCCAGAGTGTGCCCTGGGGGTCACTTGCTTTGGCTGGGTTTTTTTTTTTTTTTTTCGTTTTTGTTTTTGTTACTGTTACTATAATGAAATTGTAATGGTAAGTGTTCTGCTTTCCTGAGTTTGGGGAGTAATTCTGGGGAATTATCAAACCTGAGGGAGCCCTGGGGAACCTGGATTTCTCACTTGCTGTCTGAAGTAGGGGTGGCCCTGGTGTCAACATCATGGTCTGGAGAGTGGTGTCCCCGACCTTGGGCTGCTGATGCCTGGATCTGTGTCCCTGGGCTTCACATGTGATCGCTCAGTGAATGTCGGTGTTGAATCACTGTTTATGCTTAAATGCATGTTTGTGTGTTTGTGTGTTGTTTTGTGAAACAATAGCCATCCTTATGTGTGATATACTTGAAAATACATAGTTTACCCTTGAACCACAGGGATTTGAACTTCGAGGGATTTATTCAAGTAATTTTTTTAACCAAGCACAGATGGAAAATACCCTGTTGTCTGAATGAAAAACCCATCTATATGGAGGGCTGACTTTTCCTATACTTGGGCTCCAAATTCGCAGGGGCCCCCTGTGGGACCTGAGTATGCAGGTTTTGGTATACTGGGTAGGTGTGGGAGGGTGTCCTGAACCAGCTCCCTGAGTCTGCTGAGGGACAGACCACTGTATTTTATTTTTATTCTGTTGTATTTCATTTTAAAATAAGCTGGTTGCAACCCACTTGATTTTCATGATTCGCTCCTGGATCTTTAGTAGCAGCTCTTTAAACAATAATTTTGGTTGAAATTGTTATTCTGATATCTTTGTCATCTATACTTGGAGTACTTGGCCGGTTGGTGTCAAGTCACTGAACTTGAGCCTGATGGGCTGTTCTCCAGCAGGGTCTACCCTCACTGGTTGGACAAAGGCGTCAAAGGATAGTGTTGGTGGCCTTTATTTTTCCTGAGGGATAGCACAGCCCCTGCGTGTCAAGTGTGTGAAGAGGGGGAACTGGCCTGTGCCCTTCCATCCAACCTAACCCTCTGTTTCCCCAACCCCCCCTTTTTTTAAAGGTAACATTTGTCGATCACCCATTGCAGAAGCAGTTTTCAGGAAACTTGTAACTGATCAAAACATCTCAGAGAATGTAAGTACCATTCATTATCTTAAAGAGGCCAACCTGAACTCTTCTGGGCAGGAAATTGCCAAAAAAAAATTCCATGTTTCTTCCCCTGCAGTGGAGGGTAGACAGCGCGGCGACTTCCGGGTATGAGATAGGGAACGCCCCTGACTACCGAGGGCAGAACTGCATGAAGAGGCACGGCATCCCCATGAGCCACGTTGCCCGGCAGGTACCGTCCTTGGACTTGAAGATGTGTGTTTTGTGTTTCAGTGGGTCATTGACAGCGGTGCTGTTTCTGACTGGAACGTGGGCCGGTCCCCAGACCCAAGAGCTGTGAGCTGCCTAAGAAATCATGGCGTTCACACAGCCCATAAAGCAAGACAGGTAGACAAGCTCTTGTTCCATTTCTAATATGTAGAGTCCGGTAACTTGAGAAGTAGTGAAAGGATTAACTAGACTTGTATATTAATGAATGTGTTTATTTAGGGTGAGCTTAACCAGCTACAGTGTGTCCATTTGGTTTCACTTCTGGTTGCACAGTGTTGAAAGACTTGCATGACTTTGGAATTTATTTATTAAAATGCACATAAAAGCTAGGTAATTTATAATGAGAGAGCCTGACTGCGAGCTTGGGCTGAGCGGTGCTCTGTCTTCTGTTCCTTCCTGCATAATTTTTATTAAACATTTAAGCCATAGTAATTATCCTGCCTATATTGCAAGTTTGTTGCTAGAATTAAGTTATATAATATATACAAAAACATTTTTTCAACTGTAGAGTGCCATAGTAATATAGGGTAATACCAACAACGTTATGGACACATAATTGTAGTGTGTTGTGCCACACTGGAAGTTTGGAGTCTAATAAAGTCACAATCAAATTCTGCAATTTCAGTTGAAGATAACCTTGTCTTTATATTATAAATTATAAGCTAAAGTTGATTTTTCTAAGAGTTCTTTATTTAAATGAAGTACTGTGGGACTGACCTTTTCTGAAATGGAATTGTCATTGGTCAGGTGATTAAACATTTTTATACAATTTATCCATCCTAATCTCTTCAGGCCTTTGCATGCCTTGCCAGTTTCTACTGGCCATTGTTGAAAATAGATTTATTTGGAGCAGTCCTTCAGAATATGAGCACTCATACTTTGAAGTTTTATGTTTTTAAGGTCAGTTTTTTTTTTTTCACTAAGTGTGTAATAAGAGTGGATGCAAATGAAGTATTTTAAAGACATATTAGGAACTTTTTTAAAGAACAGTTTTAGAAGCAGTATTTGCACGTTTCTTGCTTTTTTTTTCCTGTTTCTTTTAAGAAATTTTTAAGGTATGTTTTATGAATCAGTATCACATCAGATCTTTGTTTACAAGTTCTTTTCCTTTACTAATGTCACAATTTGTGTGATAAGTATTGCACATTTCTTAAAATCTCAATTTTCTCAGTGCCTTTCAACCTGTGTTTAATAAATGAAATATTTTTAGGGTGCTTATTTTTAACTCTTATAGTTAGTCTTTTAGAATACGTGAGCTTTCTGCCCAGTTAGTTCAAAGGAGATTTTTTTACTTTATTATACATTATGTTCTCTTTTCGGTAAACTTTTCATTGACTTGTGTACACAGATTGTGAGTGCAACCCTGAGGTCCCATAATAGCCCCCTCCCCACTCCTCCAGAAATCCCCACAAAAAATTGGTTGTACTTTTTAACTTCATAGAAGTGGAATTATAGTACATGCTGTTGTCTGTTAGCTTTTTTTGCTTGTGAGAATCTCCGTGTTTATTGTAGCAATATAATTGTCATTGCTGGATACGATATCATTTCACAGTTTGTCCGCTCTCCTCCTGGTGGGGGTTGGGGGGTTTCTAGTTTGGGGCTACTGCAGATAGTGCTGCTGTGGTAACGGTGTGCACCTGCTGTGTTCTGTTGGAGTCATGCCCAGCAGACACCGTGTAGTGGGGTACACATCCTCCTCATGAAACAGATTGGGGATGTTCCCTCTTTTTCTTCTCTAAAAAAAGTTTGTTGAAGATTGATAGTATTTCTGCTTATCATTTGAAAAAGTTGTCTAATGGGTTGTCTTTTTGTTGTCTATTACTTTCTCTGGCAGTCTTTCAGTTTTTCTTTTGGAATTTGGTTTTCAGCAGTTTCGGTGTGGTAGACCGGATATGATCCTTGACGTTGTGACTTGATGCTTTTCATCAATTTTGGAAAATCCCAGGCTGTTATCTTTTCATATTGTACTTCTCTTTCTCTTTTCTCCTGAGATTCACCTTATGTGTATATTGAACATATATTTCTAACGCTCTTCTATTTTCTATCCCTTTCACTCTCTTCTTCAGTCTGATATTTTCTGCCGACCTGTTTTCTGATATACAAATCTTTCTGCCGTTTTCAAACAGTATCAAGATTGTCTGTTATTTACTTAATTCTTTAAGTTTCTTTTTATTTTTTTTGTAGATTCTATTTTTCTGGTGAAATTCTACATCTTGCTCTATGTTTTCTTGAGCATTCTATCACAACTGCTTTAAATACCGTGGCAACTCTGATTATTTGATTTTCTGATTATCTGGACCATTTGTGAGTCTGCTTTCCTTTTCTGTTTTTTTCTCTTTGTTTTGTTGCTTGTATATCTTTGTCCATTTGTGCTGCTCTAACAGTACCTGAGACTGGGTAATTTACAACGAACAGAGATTTATTTCCTATAGTTCCAGAGGCTGTGAAGTCCAAAGTCAAGGGGCTCATGGGGCTGTGAGGTCCTTCTTGCTGCCTGATCCTGTGGTAGAAGGTGAAGGAGTCGAGAGGGTCCCAGAGTGAGTGAGAGCGAGAACTAGAAAAACAAGAGGAGGAAAACAGAGGAGAGAGAGAGGACCCATCAGTGTCAGGAGCCCACTCCCAAGCTAGTAGCATTGATCAAGATCCTCCCTCTCACTGTTGTTGCATTGGGGATGAAGTTTCCAGCACAGGAACTTTGGGGGACACATCCAAACCATAACATAGGATTTAAATAATTGTAAAGAGGTAAAGAGTTCTGCTACTGAACTGTTTGAGATCCCTGTTCTGAGGCCTCGTCATTGCCCAGTTTTAGCGGGAAGAGAAGTGGCAAGTGGCAGGAGTCTACAGGTTGGGGACTGCACCTTTTTTTGAGGTACCTTTTTTTTTTTTTTTTTTTTTGAGACGGAGTCTCGCTCTGCCGCCCAGGCTGGAGTGCAGTGGCCGGATCTCAGCTCACTGCAAGCTCCGCCTCCCGGGTTCACGCCATTCTCCTGCCTCAGCCTCCTGAGTAGCTGGGACTACAGGCGCCCGCCACCGCGCCCGGCTAGTTTTTTGTATTTTTTAGTAGAGACGGGGTTTCACTGTGTTAGCCAGGATGGTCTCGATCTCCTGACCTTGTGATCCGCCCGTCTCGGCCTCCCAAAGTGCTGGGATTACAAGCTTGAGCCACCGCGCCCGGCCTTTGAGGTACCTTTTTTATGAACAGTGTTTATTGGAACACGGCCAGACTTGTTCATTCACCTGTAGTGTGTGGCTGCTTTTGTGCGAGAGCCGCAGAGCTAGAGCGGCCTCGTGGCCCCCAGAGCCTGATGGTCACTAGAGCATTGGTTTTGTAGATGGGGTTTCTAGTTGTTTTTAGTAGTAGGGATGATTTGCCACAAGCTGCTGCAAGTGGAAATCCTTTACTGTGCATTTGTTACATAAGTTATAGCTGTTTCATTTCTTTCTCAATTATTGTAACATCTAAAAATTATGTAACAATTACTAAGTCTTTTTTTATGAAAAATTTACAATTAGTCCAGAATTTAAAACAAGTTTAGTATTAAATCTTAGGGCATTTCTCACATAACTAATTTGGAGAAATAATACTGTTCAGGCTTGGTGGCTCACACTTACAATCCTAATAACACTTTGAGAGGCTCAACATTGCTTGAGCCTAGGAGGTGAAGACCAGCCTGGGCAATATGGTGAGACCCAGCTCTACAAAAATTTAAAAAATTAGCTGGGTGCTATGACATGTGCCTGTAGTCCCAGCTATGTGGGAGGCTGAGGTAGGAAGATGGCTTGAACTCAAGAAGTTGAGGCTGCAGTGAGCTATGGTCTCACCAGTGCACCCCAGCGTTGGTGACAGTGAGACCTTTTCTCTGAAAACAAAAAAGAAAAAGAATTCAGTATTGTACTTATTCTCGATTTTGAAATAAGTCGGTGCCATGGGAGTGTCGATGAAATACAGTCCTTTTTAGTTTCTGGAAGTGCTAAAAGCTGACGTTTCTCGTTTTTTAGAAGAACAAGTGTATTAGGAAAGTTACACTTTCCGCCTTTGTTCCGCAGTACGTATGTTTATGTTTCTCATTCTGCCATTATTTATAGTAGTTGAAATTCACAAAATAATCTTTTTATTTATATTTTAAGTAGGTATATTTATAGATTATATCAGAAAGCAATGATAAGCTTTCAGGTTACAATCAGTAGAAATACTGAGTGGCATTCTCTTCTGTGTCAGGTTTAAATTATGGATATTCGATCAAAATAAAGGAGGACTGTCGGTTATTACTCCTATGTCTCTTTCTTAGTGACCACCTCTGACCATCCAACTTAATACTTCTCCTTCTCCCTGCCCCAGACCTGCATGTACCTCCTCTCTGCTTTATTTCCTCCGGGGCATCTGTGCCTCCTGTGTGTTGCCTGCCCCGTGTAGAAGGGCAGCTCCACCAGACACGGCTTATGCGCTTAGCTTGGTGTGTGTCACTGGGGCCCAGGATGTTCAGTGCTTGTGGAATGAAAAATAGAGTAGAATAATGAAGGGGATTAAATATGTGACATTTTAGTATGTTGACTGTGTTACATGTTACTAAGGAATTGAAGCTGATGTATAAACATTGTGTCTACACATTATACTATTTTATGATTATTGTATGGAACTTTATAATACAAAATTTCTTTGCAGTACAATTTTGAGAAGTAGGTTAACTCTCTTCTAACTTAAAAGTATCCTAAAAATTATTTATTTAATTAAATTGTTAATTAGTGAATAACAGGCTCAAATATAGCAGTTTTTTTTCTTTTAGTATTGCTTTGCATACTCTAGGCTTAAATGGTATAAACACTGTATTTTGACTTCTTATTCAATTTTAGATTACCAAAGAAGATTTTGCCACGTTTGATTATATACTATGTATGGATGAAAGCAATCTGAGGTAATCCTGTTTTTGAAGAATATGTCTGTTCAACTCTCAGTTCAGTAATGGGCCAAGTAATTTGTTGTGCAGATTTACTTTTTCTATTTTAAAGGTTTTAATAGTGATGGTCACTATATGTGGAATTATTTATTTAGAACAGCAAAAAAACTTAGTAATCTAGAATTGTCCCTTAGGTATTTTCAAGGAAATACACCTTAGAAAAGGGAAAGTCCAGTTATTAATAGCATCATTTAATTGGAAAACTAGCTTGACTGTGATAGTTTTGTATCAGGCACATTGTTCTACATGAGAGCAGTTTTGTTATTTTTGCTGTAATGATTCCTGGACAGGGCAGTGTTTTATTGATTCTCAGGCCAAAGCTCTGCAACCGTAGGTTCCTATTATTACCCCATCTTGTGAAAGAAGGACGTGAGAAACGGTAATGTTAGGTTGTGTCCCCAAGTTCACACAGCTAGCATGTGGTAGATGTGGTGGGATTTAAGCCTAGGCTCAGTGAGGCAGAGCCCTGCCGTCCTGCCTCAGTCACCACTCTTCTGACCTGCCCCAGTCCTCTACTTAGGGCGTCGTTGGAAAGTAATCATAATTTAATGTCACTCCAGGATTCTGACTTACATCACTACTTTTTCATAAATAGTACTTGTTTTTGATGAAGATAAACTATTTGTTCTTTTAATTACTTTTGTACAAATGAACAGATAGGGATGCACCAGTTTTAATTATTTTTTATTAATCAGGACCTTCATTAAAATGCACGCATTTTTTAATTTTATTTTTCAGTCCTTATTCTGTTCTCATTGTTTTCGCTGACACCATAGCTTATAGGTATCATAAAAACACCTTTTTAGGAGACCCCATTTGCTTTGATCGGCACTGAGCACTGTGTTTCTTTGTGTGTGGGGCAAGCAGAGTTCCTGCAGCCTCACGTTTGCATGTGCTGTTCCTCTGCCTGGAAGCTCCTCCTTGCTGCTTGGGCCATTCGGCTCCTATTTGCCTTTCGTGGGTCAGCTTAAATTCATTTCTTTGTAGAGGTATTCCACTACCCTGTCACTAGGCCAGATTGTGCATTAGACTTAGGCCTGCCCGCAGTTCTCGTCCCTGCGCCTACTCCTGAGCTGCTGTGAAACTTCACGCACGGGGCTCTTGGCTGTTCCTTTCCCACATAAAGCACATGCCTGACTCATCGACTCATCTGTCGTAGGTGCTCAGTCGAAATGTTAAATAAATGGAGGCACTTAGTTCAGTTTGCCTTTTTCTTTTGTAGCAGTGTGAAAGCTAAAGGTGGAAGTCTAGAGTGAAGCTGAGTTTTCAGCTTGGGCAGAGGCTTGAGGAGTAAAAGAAGGAAGAGTAATTAAGGAGTGGGTTGTGCTGCGGGAAGTGCTGTCAAGACACCTGAGGATGGAGTTGGTAGCCCTCTGTTTGGGGACTGGTTCAGATGGTGTTTTGGGTTCCTTTCTGTCACCTTTGTTTAATCTCTGAAACTTGATTGATTGTCTCAAAATATATTTCGTGGGAGAAAATATAATTATTGTATATTTTGTATAACAGAATCAGTGAGAATAAGCTGCTGTCGCAAACTCCCTTGCCTAGAGAGAGGGCAGTGGCATACAGCTGCAGAAGGGGCCACACCGGCCTGCTGAGTGTTCTGTTTCATTTCAAATTAGGTCATCCTGTCTTGATTTTGATATGGATGTTTCATAAGACCCTAGCAGATGTGCCTGTTTAACTTGAAACCATAGATCAGAAAACTAAGTTCATGTTTCAATTTTACAGAGATTTGAATAGAAAAAGTAATCAAGTTAAAACCTGCAAAGCTAAAATTGAACTACTTGGGAGCTATGATCCACAAAAACAACTTATTATTGAAGATCCCTATTATGTAAGTACAGTTCACGTTTTAGGGCTAATGTGATGACCCACCACGTCGGTATCCTGCAGTATTAAATAACAGAGTAGATTGTGGTAAGGATGTTTTTGTTATGCAGGTTTTGCCATTTTCTTCTTTTCCTGTCCATTTAGGGGAATGACTCTGACTTTGAGACGGTGTACCAGCAATGTGTCAGGTGCTGCAGAGCGTTCTTGGAGAAGGCCGACTGAGGCAGGTTCATGCCCTGCTGTGGCCAGCCTGACTAGACCCCACCCTGAGGTCCTGCATTCTCAGTCAGTGTGTAATCATGTTCCAGAGCCCAAAGGCCCAGCTGTTTGTTCAGTTGACTTACTGTTTCTTACCTTAAAAAATATTGTAGATGGAAATCAGTTATGTTTGGCAGAAGAATCAATAAAATTATTTGATTCTGACAGTTTATGGGGTATATTAAGCATTCTTAGACTAGTTGAACATCTCACTTTGCCCCAATTACAAAAATAGTAGAACAAGCAACATAAAACATAATGAAGGAAAACCTCACTTGAAGGCCCAGGTCAGCATCTAAGCCCGCTGAGACTTAGATAGTCAAGTCTACCTCTTCAGTAGGTTCGTGTGGATGGCCTGATGGGGGGCAGGTGCCCTCTGCTCCCTGTGCTACCTCTCTCTTGCCCAGGGCCTTTTATGGATTGACAGTAGCCCTCTCCATAGGAGCTCACAGTCTAGATTAGAAGTATTTTAATTTATACACACCCATAGTGCACACTTGTATATTGAAAAGATAGGGAAGAGAGAAACATTTATGGAAACAGTCGTTAGCACCTTCAATACTTCATGATTTTTGTCGAGTTTACTTCATGAGGAGGTCAGCTCCTTTGCTCCCATCTGAACCACTTTGCCTCTGAAACTTAATTATATCCAGAAAGAAGGACGCTTGTATGCTAGTCTAACTATGGGCAGTTGAGGAATATGACACTTTTTATATGCACATGTAACCCAAATGTCTAATATAAATTGGCTTATTTTTAAAAATAATTTTAAAAGTTGGGAAACGCTTTATTATTTGGCATGCTTAAAATTAAGTATTCTTCATCAGCATTTAATAAATGTATAGGCAGATATAGGTAATTTCTGTGTATTGAGATAATGTCGAAATCATGAATATTTCACAATAAACTGGGGAGTTATAAAAATACAACTAGAGATATAAGTCTGGTGTCTGCCTGTTTTTTTTATTGACAAGGAAGCATTTGAACACATCGTTTTGTCCCTTTTACATGATCTATGATGTTATGTGTGCATGTTTTATCTTCAGGATGAGAAAGTAAAATGATGAAAATAAGCACATTGCTGCCGCATATCATCATGTCTAGTTTCTGAAAGAAGTTTGAGGTCCTACAGCTGGAAATGTCCTTGCCTAATACCATCCTCTGGACATGTTGCCTCTATGCTGTGCCCTCCTGTGCAGTGACGCACAGCTGCCTGGCCAGGACATCTGCACTCCTGACCAGTATCGTCAGGGTCCCAGGCAGTGCCAGGGGGAGGAGACATGTTTGATCCTTGACTCACTAGTGCCTGGAGGATGAGCTGCTGCCAGATGAAAGTGAGTAGTTTCCCCACTGTATCATGTGGAAGTGCCACGCTGTCTTCATAGGAAGAAAGTTTGCAAACTCAGTGAGTCTTGCTCTTGTTGGAATTACCCAGACATACAGAAAACTTAGGGGATTAAATATTAATAGATTGGATATTTGAACATGATATCCTTAAAACATAAAAAATTGGGAAGAAAAGGTCAAGTAATGAGCTTAATTAGAAAACAGAATTAAATAAGAACACTTCAAAAGTTACACCCTGTTCTCTTCATTCAGTAATTGCTTTTAATTATCTCAAAGTCAAAATTTCTTACTCTTCTATTCCTTTATGTTTGGAAATAAAATCCTATAGTTTTTCTTTAATGTTTATAAATACACATCCTCAAACAAATCCTAGGACTCTTGACTATTCTGTCCTTATGGCTCTACCCAGACAATACCATCTGCCGACAAGGGCTCGTATGAATGGAGAAACATTGCTTTGCTGAATTCTGTTTTTTAAATTGGATCCAGTTAGATCTGTTTAAAATACATCTACATGTAAAATTTTGAGACTGCTTAGAAGTCTTAAGGTTCCTCCTAGTTTTGCATTTTCATGATTACAAAATCGCTTGGGAAATAATGGATACAACCTTATTTGGAATATTTCCCAGCAATTCAGGGCCTATCTGAAGAAATTATGTCACCAATATATAGTAGCCTCTACTTTAAAAAAATGCTAATTATCCCTTAGATAAATTCTTAGGCTTCAAGTTTTCATTTGTTTATGACTTTTATATTCTGTGACCTTTTGCCAGTGTCATGGTCTCAGTAAATCTGAAGACAGGAATTCCCAACAGTGAACCTGTTAGAGAGGTAGAGAGTCACTTTGAAGACTATTCATTATAACAAACACTTCATTTATTACTTGTGTTTATTTACAGTATTTACATATTGCACAATAGCTGGAATACTATTTTACATTTATTATACAAAGGACCAACAGAATTAGCCACAGATTTACACTCCACTGTTCCTAAAACATGACCAAAATTTTAATTTTTCATGCCATTCCAAATAATACTCTGAGAATTTAACAGTGAAAGTAATACGGAATATTAAATTATGTTATATGAAAATATACTTTAAGATTCTGCTTATGTTTCTAAAGAAACATTTTTTGTGATTTCAGCTAATCAAGAAAACGAAATATTCTCTGTGTTTTATAGCACTACACATCAAACGTGGAGCATTCCTTTTGTGGTTGTTTTTAAAATAAGAGTGACAGATATCACTGTCAATACACTGATTTATCGAATATGTATCTGCAAACACTGTCAACAACATACAAAACTCAAAGGACTTATTGAAGAGTCTGTCTGCAAAAATAAATCTCTTGTCCATGAGGGGATGTGTATAAAGATAGTTCTGTTTCCCTGTTGGTTTCCAAGGCACTTCTCATGGCTCCTGGTGTGCTGCTCCTGTACAGTCTGCTCACTGCTGAAAACAAATACATTGCGTTTGATATGACTATCCACACTTCTTCCTGTGAATTCCAGAAGACCTGTCACTTCAGTTAGGGGACACAACATGTTTATAAACATAGGCAGTCTCAGAGTGCGTCTGTATGTCTCTGTGTTACAAAAAGTGTAGTCTACTGTATTTTGAAAAATAACTTCTTTCTGCAGTTACTACATGGCTGCGATGCTAAAGCAATGAAAGTCATCACAGATACATGTGGATGCTTATTAAAGCTTGAAGAAGAGTGCTTAGTCTTACATGTGCTATCAGAATCCTCAGTAGTCCAGGCCACAGGGATTTACCTGGCAGTTCTGCAACCTCCGCGTTCACAGAGTTGGTAAAGCTAATAATCAAGATTAGACAGTTGTTTCTAGCATTCTTTGTTGGAATATCTAAACCATTGGTATGCTGTTTATTTTTAAAAGAATGATAAACTTCGAGGTTACTAAGATGAGGCTGCATTTGGGAGAGTGCACTGGGCACTCACTACTCAGAACTCCTTTTGTTTGACAATATTCCAGAGCTCAGGCTTCTGACTGACTGACCTGGAAGTCCAACAATGAAGTGTGTCTGTGACTGTTAGGGAGGGTAGGTGGGGACATTGTTCTCTTTGGCTGAAGAGGTCTATTAATGAGCTTCAGAATGCGGCAAATGGATTTGCTCTGAGATGAGGGCAGAGCCCTTCCTGCTAAACACCTGCTTTTCTCAGGCTCTGGGCCTTTCTTTACAAAGACAAGGTCATGGTTTGCAGTCTTGCCCTGCCGTCCTTGTGTGTCAGGACAGAAGTGCGTGTGGCAGGTTGTTAACCAGCAGAACCGGGACTGCAGGGCCTTCCTGATGCCACACCGTCGCACTAGTGTGGGCACCGTGGGATGCCTGCCCTGCCCTCTGGTGTCTCACTGAGGTCTGCAAAGCACAGAGAAACCCTGGACTGTATCTACACTGTGGTGACCAGCTAGGTAACAATTTGCTGTTGCCGTTTAAAACTTTTGGACTTTGAAGAAAGTATCTTTAAAAAAAAAATAGAAGTTATGAAATTATAGTTAAGAGGGTATCAATGTTTTAAACTATACCTATGTCTTGGCCAAAATGAACCCAGTTACAGCTGCGACACCTCTGGCTGTCAAGCAGGTGGCCTTTTGGGAACAGAAGCTTGCGAGCCTGGGCCTTGCCCTGTTACCTTTACCTGCATCTCATCGTCAGTCAGGCTCTGATGTGATTTTCCGGTGATGGGGAGAGTGATGTAAAGGGTGCTGGAGACTATCAAGGGGATTCCGCCACAGCTTTTCTGCGGGGCATCACTGTGGCATTTGCAAAGCATGAAGTGCCATGCAGAGACCCATCCAGGAGCCTGAGTCCCACTGAAATGACCATGTCCTTCAGTGTAACTGCAGCTGCCTCCAGCAGCAGCCAGCAGAGGGGAGGCAAGGGTTGGCTAATGGACATGTAGACAGAGTAGCTCTTCGAGTGGCTAAAACAGTGGGGAACTGGCTCTCCTCACTTGTAAGTAAGTGGAAAATTTCCAAGGATGTCCCTGGCTCATCTCTGGGAACAATGGGATTTAATTATAAAGAAATACCTAAAAAAAAAAACTCATCTCCCCTGGCATATCACCTTGGGTGACAGGAATATACATCTGTTCACTGATTTAAAGAGAAGAAAGTCCGTGTGACATACAGGCAGTGGATGAGCGGCTCGAGAGAACTGGAAAGAGCAGGGACCTGGGGGGACATTACTACACAGCACTTCCCAGCTTTGCCTGGCATTGAAACCTTCACTGTCTCCAAAGAAAAAGTGCAGTGAAACTGTGCAAAACGCAGTCTCAACCCGCCATTACCCACCGGCCGGCCTCCCCCAGTGCCATTCCTCTCATTAGCAGCAGTTTCTTCTACTGGGAAAGATGCTTCCTGCTGGTGTTGGGGTCATGCAGGCAACCCCTTCTGCTGCTGCTACCTAAATATTCATAAGCACTGCTTCTCCACAGAGAGCACATCTGTATAGGAAAGAGCACTACCTACCCTCATCCATTTTACATGAGACAAACTAGAGTAACCACTAGAAAAATACTCCCTTTTCATGAATGTGCTCTGAACAGCTGTCGATGGGCAGGAAGCCTGTCTGTCTTGTGCTGGTGTAGCCAGCATCGGGCAGTGCCCACACATACAAGACGTAGTAAGTATAAAATGGGTGAAATTACAGTGGCATCCTGCTGTCTAACGTGACTGAATTCTGTGGCATTTGTGTCAAGAAAATAAAACCTTACCCTTCAAAACATCCGCTGATGGTTGCTGTTACATGTTGCATATCGGCCCTCAAGGGGCCAAGGTACAAAGTTCAGTTCATAAATGTGGTATGCATTTACGTTTTACTATTAGAGGCTATGAAAAAAAAACCATTGATAGAAACATTTAAAGAGGATAGCTGTTCTTTATGAGCTTACTACAACTCAAACATTTACCAGATGTGATCATTTGAATTTACATGGACAATGTTGGTCATCTACTTAACTTGTGAGTGTTAGTGAATGAATGAATGCCTCAAAGTAAACAGGGACAATTTTAGTCTGTTCCTGGCTTATGCACTCAGTCATATGCTGAAACTGGCGGATTTGCTGTGTTTCAGAGCAGGACCCACTCAGTGCCCACGTGCCGTGCGGTGAGCAGTGAACAGCAGCTGCCTGGGCAGTGTCGACAGGTCAGTAGGGCAGCTTTCAGCACTGAGATAAGAGTGTTGGACCTTCTCTACTTAGAATACGGCTACCTCAGCCAAAGAATGAGTGTTCCTAAACTCCTGTGAAGTTTTCATGTCCCAAGCGGGATTCCCGTCTTTGGTATGTGCTCCAGTGCGCTTCTGTCCAAGCTTACCTTATCCTCCATGCACACTGGACTGACAGCCAGCCGGGTAAGAAGCCTGGCGCATCTTTTATAGTCTATGGTGAAAATAAATCACAGACCCTTGTCAGTTACTTAAAAAACAAATAAATCACTTTTTTTTTGCAAGTATATCAGCTACTAAAGCCATTTATTTCTTTAAATATCTGAATTCCCTGGAAGCAATACGGAGTCTAATCTGCAGGCATGGGTTCTAAGTTGTTGACTTAATAATTTATGGTACTTCAAGGGCTTCAGCTTCAATGGCAGAAGTGGGATGATGTAAGTGGGGCTGCGGAGGGAGGAGGGACAGACACGAAGACTGCATGGCTGAGCTGGCTGCCCATTGCTTCTCTCAGAAATAGCTTCCTACGTGACAATCCTTCCATACCCTTGTGCTACTTTTGGGTCATGTGCAGGCTGAATCCCAACTTGAGTTGACCATGGGACAAAGCCTTCTGCCTGTAAATTCTAAAGAAAGTGGGTCAAAAGTCAGCAGAGCAGAGACCTGGAGTGGATGGCGAGCAGAAGCAATGTGCCCATTTCTAAGCGGAGACTAATACTCCTTGGTATCGTACACAGTCTCCCATTCCACTATTCTGGCCATGCTGCCTGTAGAAATTGAGAAGGTGTAGTGGTCATGGCCATAAGGGAAAATATGTCCTCAGGGTGAAGATCTATGGAAAGCTGAAATCGTTTGTAAATTATTACAGTTTATTTCTCAAGAATAGAAAAATCTTATTAAAAGGAAGAATTTATACCCAACTGAAAATCTGAGTTGAACGAGTAGATTGACAATGATAAATGTATACAATATGTTAGATAAGTAGCCAGCTCTACTTTCAAAAATATGCCTCCTAAATACTTATGGCACATATTGTTAGGGATTTTTCAAACAGAAAATGTTTTTCAAAGGGAAAAAGGATGCCCAAACAGTGGCCCTGGGTCATCTGAACGCCTGGCTTTCTCTTTCACAAGCAGCATCATGCCTTTTAGAATGTAGTTTTCCTAAACAGATTCCACATCATGAATGCAGTGGATTGTGTGATTTCAATGGCTGATCTAATCAATGAATTGTAAAGACTTCCACTTATGTCATGTCCAGGCTCCCAGCTGACCACATCCTGCTTAACCCAGGTGTTTTCAGCAATGTCTTGCAAACCTTCATGTGCAGACCAATCATCTGGGGATCTTACTAAAATGCAGATTTTGTTCAACAAGTCTAGATGGGACTTACTTCTGCATTCCCAGCAAGCTCCCCATAGGACCACACTTTGAGGAGGCACTAAGTTCCTTCAGGTCTGATATTCCAGGATCCCAAGGACTTTCTTTTATATGGCCTAACGCAGTAAAGAAGTGGTCCAACTTCAGCTCTCCAGTTCTTTATGGGCTAAGAAGAGGCAGAAAGCAACAAAGTAGCCTCCCATCTCAAGGCACAGATCTCTCCGCCTTCTCCCTCTCCATGGCCCAGGCTGAGCTGTGATCAGGAGCTTAGTATCACAAAGCCGAGTTGCTATGAGCAAAAGGAGGTATCGAATGGGGGCGCAGCTTGATGCCCTGGAAAAAGGCCTGCAGAGTCAACCATGAGATCTGTGCCTTAGTTTTGCTGATATCTGACAGCACAAAAGCAATTCCTCATCCATAAATGAAGAGATGAGACTGAATGACTCAGAGGTCACTTCCAAAGTTGGAATCTGTGATCCTATTACTGTAAGGAAATATGTAATATAAAATATATGCACATCAAAACAATACAAACGATAAAATTTTCTGGCCCCAAGAGCCACATTAATGATTCCCAAACAGGTGATTACATTCCAAAAGAAGAAAACAGAGTACTAGTGTGCCAGGTCCACATGGAAGGGTGCGGCCCAGCACCAAGAATATGAAAACGAAACTCTTCAGGAAGTGTGTGCTGCTGGCCTTGGCGTGAGGATGGTGTCGCTAAAGCCATGGTCAGAGGGGCCAAGGCTGCGTTCCATGTGTCTTCGTGCTGTTGGTGCAAATGCCAAGCATGCATGTGCCTCAGCCTTGTCCAAAACGTGCTGGTGATACTACTTCAGTGGGCTGAGGCTCACTGGCATGCACCTGGCACACAGAAGAAGCCCTATACATGATGGTTATTATTATTCGAAGTAATTTTGCTGCCTAAACAAAGAAAAGCACTTATACTTTGTGTACATTGGCTTTTTGTTTGTTTGTTTTTGGAGGGGGAAGGCAGGACAGCAAGTCTGGTCTGCTGCCTGGTCCGACTGGAGAGCCCTGATGACAGCAGTTAGCAGGATGCCTAGTGTCTCTGCATGACTTTTCTGTAAGCCTTAAATGAAATGAAAGTTGGAGTCTGAATTAAAAAAAAATGGGTTAGGGCCCTATCACTGTAGCTAATAAAGCTTCAGTGAAGAGAACAAGGAGCTGCTTTTGGAGAAATAAAATGTTTTGTTATGAATAAATAGCCAGAAGCAGGTTAGGAAGACTGAAAAGAAACAGGAGAGAAAGCTACTGCTGAGAGCTAGGTTGATAAGGGCAACTCTGCATTTCTGAAGGAGTGATGGAGCCAGCCAGAGAAACAGTTTTGAAATCACAATGAAATTCTTGGGTGATGAGGTTATAATTACTGATGGGAAGAAAAAGTCTGCTCAGAGCAGTGGAGATGATCCAGGTCAATCTTATTCTTGGAGTCATTTTAGCAACTCATTCTTAACATCTGTTTGACTGCTGTAGTAGAGTATGCACAAACATGGGCATTGGAGGAGAATTAACAACAGAAAGAGAATCGGAGTTCAGCCCATCCCAAGAGCCTATTATTCCAGTGACTGTAAATAATTTCCAGTTTGGCGTTAGCTGATGCAGAAGTTAGTTATCTTCTGCAATGGTCTGGCCATCTTGACCCCTAACTCCATAGTGAGGAAGGAATAGGCAAATTTGAGCTAAGAAGGCAGGGGCCTATATAAGGAAATAGAAAGAGGTGGGAACCGCTGCCTGCACTGCGCTTGCATTTTATAAAAATTCAATGCTGTTACTTACATGCAGGAATGGTGCAGTCTCTGGTGTTGTGATAAAGTCTATGGAAGTGTTTGCTGCACTTTGGACTAAAATAAAGAGGGCCTGGAACATGGAAGAAGAAACAGATCATGAAGACTCACAGGTACAAAGGAACTCTGGGAGAGGTGAGGAACGAGGAGGAAACTTACCTGTAAGGTGTTTTAGAAACTTGTCCTTCATCCTCAGATCTCGAGGAACAATTTCTGTTTCAGGGAAAAGAAAGTAGTATATTACCTGAAGGAAGCATTTTTTAAAAATGTGACCTTAAGTGAATGTTGAAGAAAATTGGAAACTCCACATTAGCCAAGTTGCTTTACACAAAATAAAAAAGGCTGGGGCCCTGGATTGCAACACACGACAGTGAAGAAGACTCAGTCAGTATCAGGGACATTTACTTTCCTTGAAATAACAGTAACTACTCCTGAAACTCCAGGATTATGTCTGCTCTCTACCCCATGGGATGCAGACAGAGACCACGAAGTTATAGAGGTAAGAAAACGTTTTTTTTTTCTTTTAAACATTTAACTTCCAGTGAATAAGTCACTTTTAGGCACTTTAATTTTGAGGACCTTGGGAATCAAATCCCACAACATTTCAGAGTTTTTAGAGAACACTTGACCCATCAAAAAAAAATGGGTTATAGAATATTAATTTTTCTAGATAAATATTTAGAATAAGGATTAAAAGACCACGTTTCAGTGAGGTGTAAATTAGTGGGAATATGCATTAACCTGGTTTGTAGGGTAAGAATCCTAGGGAAAGACTCAGTCAGGCAAACTTCCACCACCAGGGTTCTCCGCAGACAGTGGGTGGGGAGAACCCTGCGGGTGTTCTTGAGTTCAGCTTTGTTTTTGCGTGTTTACAGCCCTCTCCATCTTCACTCCCCCGTTCAGGGCTCCTGGCTGAGCCCCGACTGTGTGAAGTCAGGCCCTCTGAAGAGGAGCATTGGCATCCCTTGCAGGGCATCCCCTAGTGAGAGTCTTCATTCACTCCTAACTTGACGCGGCCGGGGTAAAGCTGACCTTATCATATTTGACCTGATTGTGTCACAAAAGCATTAGAAGCTTTCATGCTTTCCTGGGAAATTCCCCGTGGGCCGCCACTCTGGGCAGGGCCACGAAGGAGCCTGGATGCTTCCTTCTCAGTTGGGAACGCTTTGCTGGAAATGCTTCCATTTCCAAAGTGACGGGTGACAGTTCCGTGCGGAAAGCACCAACCCGCACAGCAGCTCACGCGCGCCAGGAGGAGACCGGGCGCTTCTCTGCCAGGCCTCATGCGCGGACCTATTGCTGCTATTTTCTTTTTCTTAAAAAAAAAAAAAAGGAATTCTGCTGTTCAATGGTCAAAATTGATGTCTCTTTTTGAAACGTGTTTCTCAAAGACAATTCGATTTCCCAGCAGCCCCGGCCCTCGGGCGCGCTCGGCCCCACTCACCCACTCGCTGCTCCGGCGAAGGCCCCAGCCCCGCCGCCTCCGCGCGGCCCAGGGCGCAGTCCCGCCCGAGGAGCTGCAGGCCCTTGTGCTCCGCCGAGTGGTGCTTCCGCAGCTCCTGGACGAGCTCCACCACCAGCCGCAGCAGCGCCTGCCCGTCCGCCGGCTCCCGGGGCTCCGCGCCCCCCCGGCCGCGCCCCGCCGCCCCCAGCACCAGCAGCAGCCCCAGGAGGAGGGGGCGCCCGGGTCCGCGCATCGTGCGCTCGGGGCCGCGGGGCTGGGAGACTCCGACACGCGCCGGGAGCTGGGCTCGCTGCGGGAGAAGGGGCGCGGGGGGCCGGAGAGAAAGTCAGCGGGGGAGGGGGACGGAGTGCGGGGCGGCGGCGGGAGGGGAGGCGGGAGGAGCCGCTGGCGCTGGACCCGGTCCCGCACCTCCGCGGACCGCGAGGAACGAGCCGGCAGGTGAGGGGGCCGCGGTCTCCTCGACGATCCCGCCCGAGGTCCCGCCCACGGGGAGCGACCGCCGCTGGTGCCGAAAGGAGCCCCCGGAACCCGCCCGGCCCCTCCTAACTTTCGCCCGAAAGGCCGCGTCCGCCGAGCGCGCTGCGCCTGGCGCGGGCACAACTTTCTTTCCCCTTCGGAAGCCCCGGGTGCCAGGCAGCTCCCCGGCCGCGGGCGGACCTCGGAGGGGCCGCGCCCCCGCGCCCACCTCTTTCCAAGAACGCGGCGCCGCGCGCCGGGCCCGGCGGCAGCGCTCAAGTTTCCAGCGTTGCCTTTGTGCGGTGGTCGCCGGCGGGCGCCGAGTCCCCGAAGCCCACGGAGGAGGCCGGGTGCGGACCCTCGCGCTGGCCCCGGCCGCGCCACGTGCTGGAAGCCCCTCGCCTCCGGGCCGCTGCGCCCGCCCGCACCTGCCCCGCGCCCCCGGGGAGCCACCTGCGCGTCGGGGCCGGGCCGGTTACCTGCAGCCTCTGGAGCCGCCGGAGTCGCCGCCGTCTGTGCGCACGTCTGTCCCCGCGCCCCGAGCTGCGCCACTACTCCATGCCCGGCGGGCGGAGCGCACGGGACGCGGGGACGCGGGGACTCGGCCGCTCCGAGCGCTGGACCCGCGGCCGCCCTGGGGTGCGCCGGCTCCGACTCCCGCCTCGGACCTCGGGGCCCTTCTTATCCCCGCGCCCGCCGACGTCAGGCGGGTCCCCGAGGGCTCCGAGCGGGGCTTTAATTAGAAGCCGCTGAAGTGTTCGTACCCCCATGCGGATCTTCGTCAGTACCCCCGCCTCACCTCGCTCTCGCCTCCCCCCCGTCTCCCGCCCCCCTCCCAATCCGCCCCCGCCCCCGCGCGGTCCCCCCACCCGCATCTCCACCGCGTCTCCCCCTCGCCCGCGCCCCGTCTCCCGCGCCCCTTTCCTCCCCACCTTCCCCGTCTCCCGTCTCCTCTCCTGCCCCACCTTCCCCCACTCCCCGTCTCCTCCTCTTCCCCCCTTTCTCCTCCCCCCGCCCCTCCCCCCGCCTGTTTCCCTCCGTTCCTGTCACTTGTGACAGGATGAGAAGAAACGCCTTTACCAGGAACTCGGTTCTGTTTTTGTCTAAATGTAGATCTTGGGCTATTAAAAAGGGAGCTGCCCGATTGCTTCGACATTTAATAAGTCAATTAGAGTCCATCCGTTTTGGAGGGATCCGCTCTCGGGACCCCGAGGGGTCTGCCCCGCCCGACCCCAGTCCCCAGGTTCGGGTCCCCAAGCCCCGGTCCCCGAAGCGGGGTGGCCAGGAGGCAGGAGCTTGGCGAGCGAGGCGGGCTTGCACCGCCTCCCCAGACCCCCCGCGACAGGACTAGTGAAGGTCCCTCCCCCGCAGGGCCCGCGCCGCCTGCGCGCTCCTCTGCGCTGGACCCTCGGCCGGCGGGTACCTCGCGCCCCGGCAGGGAAAGCCCGCAGGAGGGCACTTGCCTCCCGGGCTCGTCTTTAAGAAAGTTTGGCTCTTTGGCTGAAGCCCGGCACATCTGTGAAAGTTCAGCAATTTGCCTCTTTTGTTTTATTCTTGTAAAATGTATTATCCATCAGTTGCGCACTTTCCCATTCAATTGGTGCTTTCTGGGCAAGAGCTGGACGTCTTCCAAGTCCGCGATCTGGTTGGGAAAGGTGTTCTGAGTACAATCAGAGAGGCGGAGTGGGCGAGAATTAAAGGCCTGCACCAGGGTCGCGGCAGTCGCAGGACCGCGGCGGGAAGATGCTGGCCCAGGCGCACGTGCGCGCGGGCGGTGCGGGCTGGAGGCTGCGCGCCCCGGTCCCCTGAGCTCTCGGCGAGGCCCCGTCTACGCCCGTGTCCGCGTCCTTTCTCTCTCCCTGCACCGGGTCTGTTTCCTTAGGAGGAGAAAGTGTCCGGCAGAACTGGGCAAGGAGGCAGTGTGGAGAGGGAAGATATGAAATGTGCCTGTTCAGGACCCCGCCCCACGCCCTTGGGATGTGCGTTCTCTCCGCTGTCTTTAAAAACAGATGGTTTGATTTCACAGCGAGGCTTTTCTTCTTTTTCTTTTTGCAAGCAACATGACTGAAATGTGAACATTTCTGCTAAAATACACTCAGAAAAAAAGTAAAATTTTATGTCAAACAGACCGTAGGCACTTGAAAGGAGGCATTTTTCCTTTCTCCCTTTCCCTTTAGACACTTGAGTTCCTCTGGCGAGAGCGACGCCTGGCGATGGAACCGGCCCTTCCCGGCCCTGCTCCCTGTCCTGCTCGCAGGGCCCACCTCGCAGCTGGTGGACACCGCAGTTCCCAGAAAAATAGAACCATGAGAAGATTTTACTGTTGTAAAATAGCTTGGTGTAAGACAGTTTTTCAAAAAATCTTTGTATGGTAAAAAGAAGAAAACACATTTTCACTTATTATTTTAAATTTACGTAGACTCTATTAGAATAGTATTTTATACAATCAAAAGCTAAATTTCTTCTATAAAATACCAGTAGGATCTATTCCCCCCACCCAACACACACACAAATTCTACCTACCGAGGAAGCCTTGCTAGTAATTAATATTATCTCTTTTCTTTTGCAGTTTTTATTGGGACAAATGGATTCCTTGAATGAGCCCTTTCTACCATCCAGGTGTGGGCCAAGACTTTTGCCCAGCTCAGCAGAGGTTTGGTGGATAATCAACAGCAGCAGAGCTGATGCTTGGTTGGTCTTTGGATTAATGAGATCTTACAATTGAGAGTCAGGCAATTTATGTGTTCATTTGTTTTTACAAAGTTCCGTGCTAAAATTATCTAGGTGCTGCTCATTTTATATTACAGAAACAAATTTTACAGATTTTAGCAAACTTAGAGTGTACCACTGATTTGTTCATCTTTATTGAACTTTTAAGTTAATGGTATTGTCAAGATGAACCCCTTGGAGTTCTCCAGTCACCAGAAATACGTGTGCAGTCATCCCTTGGTATAGCGTGAGACTGGTTCCAGCAGATACCGAAATCCAGGCACATTCACGTCCCACAATGGGGCCTGTGGAACACGCAAATACGGAAAGTTGCCCTCCCTCTGCGTGCGTTTCGCATCCTCCAGCTGCTGTGTTTTCGACCCACGTTTGAAAAAAAAATCTGTAAGTGGACCCCTTCAAACCCGTGTTGTTCAAGAATCAACTGTGTTGTGTCAGTACAGTCTGATCTGCTAAACCCATTGGCTATGCCGGTTAGTGCAAAGTAAAGCACCCCAGTGCAGATGAACATATGAAGCTGTATTTAACAAATCGCTTAGTCTCTCCTCTACTTTTTGTGAGGTGATTGGGCTAGTTGGTCTCCAAACTCTAAAATTACATAATACTAAGATTATTACCAAAACAAGTCTTAAAACAAGATGCCGTGTTCCCTACAAAAAGCTGAAGATAATTCACTTGAGATCATCACTATGGGTTTCACCATCTATTTGCAGACAAGAAGAGGTGATATATTTATATAAAATCATTTAATTCCTTCCTTTAGAACGTGAACAACATTCTACTGTCAAGGGTCCAGGAAGCCAAAAAGAAAAGAGGCAAAATTATCAACAAACTATATTCTAGGATTACTGGAAAAAAATTTTTTTCTAGATTTGATTTAGTTGGTTATCTTTTTGAGCAAACTGTGTTGGATCATAGGAAGAAAACCGAGCAGAGAAAAAAAAAAACTAACGAGTATTTACTCTCATAGTACTACGTACAGGTCATGAGATGGGTGAGTTATTTTTTTCAATTCATAAACAGGTTAAAGTTCTGATGTTTTGTTTTGTTTTGTTTTGTTTGCGACTGAGTCTCGCTGTCTCCCAGGCTGGAGTGCAGTGGCGCCATCTCGGCTCACTGCAAGCTCCGCCTCCCGGATTCACACCATTCTCCTGCCTCAGCCTCCGGAGTAGCTGGGACTACAGGTGCCCGCCACCACGCCCGGCTAATATTTTTGTATTTTTAGTTGAGACGGGGTCTCACCGTGTTAGCCAGGGTGGTCTCAATCTCCTGACCTCATGATCCGCCTGCCTCAGCCTCCCAAAAAGTTCTGATGTTTTGACTGCAGTCATTTTTTTCTTCATCCAGAGGGTATGTATTTAATTTTAGATGAATATTAGCTGCCTTCAAAGACTTCTAAAATACGTATGTATTAACCACATGCTTTAAAATGAATTGTTATATTTTTCAATCATTATGTCAATCATTTAACAATCTAATGAAGTTCGTATTGTAGAATAAAATAATCACCTTTCATAAAGGATAGCATCATGTACTATAAGCAAATATTGCTTACTCTTTAATATTTACCAATTCTGTTTTTTTTTCAAGCTATCAAAATGCTATTAGTATGCTAGGCACGTACTAAACAGTGTTTAAAGCATTTAGGAAGACAAGCTTTCTAACAGGATTAATTTTCCTAGTATAAATGTAATAAATATAGACTCTTATAAGTGAAAATGTATGCATGATATCTGCTGCTTATTCTAGATCAATGAAGTACAGCATTCTATGTAACACTTCTCCCCTTCTAGGGAGGAAGAAGATGATTCCAAAAACATGGTCATCTACCGCTGTCCCATTCTTCGACACCGCTTTTGCATCTACAAATGCACGCTGCTATGCAGAAATCAGGTGAAAGTTTTATTTAAAGGGTTGGGTTAAGATAGCATGGCTGATTTGCGTTTTTAAAAAATTTATTGTTCCATGGCCAAGATAAAGAGGACTTTTCATGGGGAAAGGCTTAAAGGTAGTATGGACTTTACCTTATTCCTTCAAACTGAATTTTAGTTATAAAATCTAAAAACACTGTGATGCTTACTTGCCATTTGGAGGCACCAATCTGACATCTTTGATGGAAGCAGTAAGAATAAATTTGAAAGAACACACCCATCATCAACATATTTTTAAAAACCCTTTTATTTGGTATAAAGGCTACATCAACAGTCAAACTCATCCATGACAATATTTCAACAAACTATATTCATAGATGCTGAGTAACAACAAGATATATCTACATTCCATCTGTTTTCTGCAGGAAAGCAAATATCCTGATCAGAAGTGACACACACAATGATCTAGGTTCATCGCAGAGACACCCAAAGTGTCACAAAGGAACCACCTACCAAAGTATGTTTTTGTTTGTTTCTAGGATAAGCTAACCATGGTGATGGGGGTGCCTCCTGGATAGAAGGAACTGCATCTGCAAACTCCCAAGGAGGAGGCACCAGAACCTCTTGGATCTGCTGGGAAGACGGGCTGTAGGAAGGGGGTGGGAGGAACAGATGGAGAGTCACCTCCCCTGAACTCCACTTTCTTTCAAGAACACAGCACAGCAGAGTGCAAAGGATGTGGGCTTCAAAGTCACAGAAATGGGCTCAGGTTCTGATTCTTGCTCACATATGTGTGAACTTGGGCAAGACAACTTCTTTGAGCCCAGTTTCTTCATGTCTAAAATGACAGGAGTATGTACAACCTCAGAGGTTTCATAAACATTACATAAGGTAAAGTATGTTAACTTTTTAGTGTAGTTTAAATGTCTTGTAACTGATCAATTATTGCTATTACTGCCTTTCAGAGTGTCTGCTGTCATAATGGTCTATTTTTTTCCTATATTTTATCCCTTACAATATGGCATGAAAGAGAGCATTATCCAATCCTGGAGAATGTCTGGGGCATCAGAATTTGGTGACTTGTTCACAGCTGCATAGAAAATCTATAGTTAGAAGTGGACTGAAATATCCTGAATTAGTAAGTTTCCATGTGACCAGCACTCAGAACAGTGGGTGAGGGCTCAGTCCAGTGGAGTCGGATTCAGACCTGTGCGTGAGGGCCCCTGCTGCTGCCTGAGGCATGGTACCTGTGCTGTTAGGATGGTATATAAGTGTGGCTGGCTGGGATATGCTAGGGCTATGAATTCATAGCCCTAGTTAAGAACAGTGTATGTTTTGCTCACCTGACCCTTCCCTAAAACCATGGGGACATTTCAAGGCTGCTTTCTCTGATATTTTTGCCACTATTGTAATGCAGTCCATTAGGCAGAGTGCTTGAGACACTGTCTTAGTCCATGTGTGCTCCTAGAACAATATATCATACACTGGTAGCTTATAAACAACAGGAACATATTCCTCAGTTCTGGAGGCTGGAAGTCCAATATCAAGGCAGACTGGGTGTTTGGTGAGGGCCCGCCCTCCTCACCAATGGCGCTTTCTCACCGAGTCCTCACATGGGGCCCGCCCTCCTCATAGATGGCGCTTTCTCACCGAGTCCTCACGTGGGGACTGCTTTCTTCATCGATGGCGCTTTCTCCCCGAGTCCTCACGTGAGGCCCGCCTTCCTCATAGACGGGGCTTTCTCAGTACCTGTCTTCACGGTGGGGCCCACCCTCCTCACCGATGGCGCTTTCCCACCGAGTCCTCACGTGGGGCCCATTCTCCTCATAGATGGCGCTTTCTCACCGAGTCCTCACGTGGGGCCCGCCCTCCTCACAGATGGCGCTTTCTCACCGAGTCCTCACGTGGGGCCCGCCCTCCTCACCAATGGCGCTTTCCCACCGAGTCCTCACGTGGAGCCCATTCTCCTCATAGATGGCGCTTTCTCACCGAGTCCTCATGTGGAGCCCATTCTCCTCATAGATGGCGCTTTCTCACCGAGTCCTCACGTGGGGCCCGCCCTCCTCACCGATGGCGCTTTCCCACCGAGTCCTCACGTGGAGCCCATTCTCCTCATAGATGGCGCTTTCTCACCGAGTCCTCATGTAGGGCCTGCTTTCTTCATAGATGGAGCTTTCTCACCGAGTCCTCACTTGGTGGAAGATGCAAGGGAGCTCTCTGGTTTCCCTTTTTTAAGGACACTAATCCCATTAATCAGGCTCCACCCTCAGAACCCCATTACCTCCCAAAGGCCCCACCTCCTGACACCATCAGTCTTGGGATTAGGTTTTAGCACAAGCACTTTGGGGAGACACAGACACTGAGACCACAGCAGATAGGCAGCACCAGTATAACGCAGGCCAGTTGCTGGTCCCAGGAGAAACCGGAGGCAAAGATGCCCAACCTTTTGGCTTCTCTGGGCCACACTGGAAGAAGAAAAATTGTCTTGGGCCACATGTAAAACACACAAACACTAACAATAGCTGATAAGATTTTTTAAAAATCACCAAAGAAATACCATGTTTTAAGAAAGTTTACAAATTCCTGTTGGGTGCATTCAAAGCTGTCCTGGGCTGCATGTGACCCGCGGGCCACAGGTTGGACATGCTTGGAAATGGACATCCAACAGAAACAGTCTGCACCTCCAGGAAGGAAGGGAGAATTCGTGCTAAGAAGCTTTGATTCACTCACACGTCCCATGGCCATTGCTTGGGTCCTCAGGTGCTCAGGGGACAGAGGGAGAAATTCTGTCCACAAGAAACCGGCATTGTTTGGTGCAGTGTGTCCCATGTGTTGTGTGCTCCTGGAGACTGGGCTGAGTGTAGAGTGGGGGCCACTCCCTTGAGGCTGGTTTATGGATGAAGGGGGCAGGGAAGGCACATGTAAAGTAGCCAAGGTGCCGGGTCCCAGCGTGCTTGGAATGTGTGAGGGGCCCTTCTGGAGCCGAGTGTAGGAGAGACAAGGGGAGAAGAGGCCGTTCTCAGTGCCACTTGCAGTACTCTGAACTTCGTCCTGCAGGCGGTGGGAAATGACTGACAAGCCTTGAGCAGGGGACCAACATGATCAGATCTGTGTTTTATGGAGGTGGCTATGGATGATGGACGAAAAGAGTTTGGGGCCGTGGGTAGACAGACCAGTCCTGCCTGCCTCTGCCCACCCTCCCCAGTGGGCAGACAGGCAAGCCAGGGGCTTTCTGACCTTCCCTCCTTCCGTCAGATGCTGTTGCTAAGCAAAGAGATGAGAAGTGTCCCCCACGTCCAGCACTGCACCAGGTGCCACAGGTATGACAGTCCCTCCTGCATGGTTTTCTTGCTTCAGAAGGTAAACACCAGCAAACAGATAACTATATGAAACAGTAGGAAGTTATAAAAAGAGCATGGAAGAAAGAGGGAAGAAGGAGAGAGACAAATGCTGAGATAGAGATAAGATGGTGAGGGTAGAGGGGACCTGCATCTGATAAGGTGGTTGTAGAATCATCTCTGAGGACATGGTATTTGAATCGAAACCTCAGCATGGACGCAGCCAAATTTGTAGTTGATGCAGGCGAAAAAAGGAGGAGGCTCAGAACTGGGGCATGGAGATGAGGATGGAGAGTAGAGAAAGTGTTGGCTTCCTAAGAGAATCATCTTTTATAGAAATCACCTGTTTCATCCTGACATTGGCATTCCCAGTATGAACATTTCTGTAAGAGCATTTAAAAGTACTGTTGAAAACATAGCCTTGAGCTTGGGACCATGTGCAGCCTCCAAAAGTTAATTCTTCCCTTCATTCAGCAAAAACTGACCACGTGCCAGCCACATCCTGAGCATAGTTTTAGGCGGAGCAGGCACTGTGGTGAGCAAAGTAAGTTCCTATTACTTGGCTTATTGAAGATGTAACTTTTACCTACGTGAAAAAAGAAACAGACAATTTATAAAAACAGACACAATACAAAATAAAGCTTTAAATATGAGCACAACACCCTGTTCTGCTTTGTCTGGGAGCTGAGAATGACACTTGTTAAGCCAGACATTTTCTGTTGCTACACATGTGAAAGGGAGGGCATCTCAGAGGTGACGCCGTGCCGACAGCTGGTGTGATTCCCTCACAATGTGCAAGTACTGGGCATTTCAGAGGTGGCCATGTGCTGACAACCAGGTGTGCTGCCCTCACCATGTAAAAACACTGGGCATCTCAGGGGTGACCTTGTGTTTACAACCAGGTGTACTCTCCTCGCTGTGCACAGTTAGGCACTGGGGATCTCAGGGTTGACCCTGTCCTGATCACCAGGTATGCTGTCCTCACTGTGCGCATGTTGGGGCTGGACACAGCAGGGACCCAGCTGTGTGCAAGGTGCAGCGTTTGTGCTATGGGGAGGACCTGCAGATACATCCAGTTCCTCATTCCTGTCCTCAGAAACACACTGGGGCACAGTGGCAGTGGGACAAAAAGCTGCTTGTGTGCTGTGATGTGAACCTCAGGGTGACTCAAAACCTGATCGTGCTCCATGTTCTGTTAGGCTACTGTCAATAAATGAACAATTTCTCGTAGATGTCTTTGGATATTTCTATGTCTGTACCTCCTCTTTCGGCAATGAGTTCCATAAGTTTACTCTTCACAATATAAATTACTTTCTTCAATTTGTCCTCAGTATAAATCAGACATGTTTAAACACGACTCTGAGGTTTTCTCTTTGTCCTTATGGGCTGGGAGTTGACACCTTCAAAGTGAAGAAGGAGACTTTTGTTTTCTCTCAGAATGAATGCATGTACTATTTAATTTTTAATTGTGATAAAACATATGTAACATAAAACTTACCATTTTAACCATTTTAAGAGTGCAGCCCCGTGGCATCAGGTAAATTCACAATTTTGTACAACCATCATCATCACTGTTCAATTCCAGAACTTTTCATCATCCTGACCAGAATCTCTGGACCTGTTAAACACTAGCTCATCATTTCTCTCTTCCCCAAAACTCTGGCAAAAGCAACTCTACTTTTTGCTCCCATGGATTTTTTAAATTGACATGTAATAATTGTACATATTTATGGGGTACAGTGTGATATATTGGTGCATGTGTACCATGTGTAACCATCAAATCAGTCTAATTAGCATATCCATCACCTCAGTTCTCGTTTCTTTGTGTTGAGAGCATTCAAAATCCTCTCTCCTGCTGCTTGAAAACAGAGTCAATTACCCTCTGAGGAGACGAGAACTTCTTCCTTTGTAATTGTAGGTTTGTTCGTGTTAACCAAGCTCCCCCCGCCAGCACCCCACTCCCTCACTGTCTCCTGTAACCACTGTGCTATTCACCACGTCTGTGAGCTCTTCTTTAGCTTCCACATGTAAGTGAGGCCATGCGGTGTTTTTCTTTCTATGTCTGGCTTATTTCACTTAGCACGATGTCCTCCAGGTTCACCCATGTTGTTGCAAATGACATGATTTTCTTCTTTTTAAGGCTGAGTAGTATTCCAGTGTGTATTTTGCCACATTTCCTCTGTATTCACCTGCTGTTGCTGTCAACTTGGATTGAATCTGCATTGTGGCTGTTGTGAATAGTGCTGCAATAATTGGGGGGTGCAGACATCCCTTCCATATCGAGATTTCCCTCCCCTTTGATTAACATTCAGTAGGAGGTTTGTTGGACCATATAGAGGCTCTGTTCTCAGTTTTAGCTTTTAAGTGGCTGTACCAGTTTACACTCCCATCAGTCGTGTGTAAGAGTTAAGGAAAGGCTTTGAGTCAGAGGAGACCAGGCAGGGCAGCTGATTTTGAATCCTACTCCGACACTCACTGTGGCCACAGCCAGTCCCTGTGGCTCTGGGCTTTTAATCTCCTCATGAGCAAAGTGGGGCTGCTTTCCCTTTCTTTTTAGTGTGTAGGTCTTTTTAAAGGATTGAATCGATTAGTAAATATAATTGTCTATAAACTAAGCAGCTGGCTGTGTTTTTTTCATGCTGTTCATAATTTAGTTGACTTTGACCAAATACACTCCTGGTTTTCCTTTCAGAATCCCATGTTTCAGGGACTGTGTTTATGTGGTAACATTTTGGGTTTTTGTTGTCTTAGAACCTGTCATGGTGAAGTACTGATTACAACTTCATTCAGAGTGTCACAGTGCATGTGCCACCCTCGTTCTGACTCAGGAATTTGGGTCCCATTTAGTTGTCATCTCTGCTTTCACAGAATCTGGGGCCCCCATCAGTAGTGACTCCCAGGCTCTGCTGCTGAATGGTCAAAAATCAATACAATGCATCAGATGTATTTCATGTATTTCTCTCTATATATATTCAAATGGAAATTCGCCTTCTTTCTTTATAGTTTTGAGGCAGCATCAGCAATATTTCTGCTGTGCCGACGCCCTCAACAGGCCTCGCTTTCAGCGGTGCACTCCCTCCCTCAGCTCACAGGTTTAAAACCTCCGTCACTGACATGATTGTATATTTAGAAAACCCCATCTTCTCAGCTTAAAATCTCCTTAAGCTGATAGCAACTTCAGCAAAGTCTCAGGATACAAAATCAATGTGCAAAAATCACAAGCATTCCTATACACCAATAACAGACAAACAGAGAGCCGAATCATGAGTGAACTCCCATTCACAATTGCTACAAAGAGAATAAAATACCTAGGAATCCAACTTACAAGGGATGTGAAGGTTTTCTTCAAGGAGAACTACAAACCACTGCTCAACAA